ATGATAGTATTGCTTATGATAATTCCGAGCACATAGATATTGCAGACCTATATAGTGGGATAAAAAAATGAGAAAAATGTGACTTCGTACCCAAATTTTCAATTTTCTTCACTTGATTGTAGGATATATTCAACGTGTCCAAAATCGAACAGCTCTCCAAGTTCTCTATTTTCTTTATCAAATTGTAGTGCAAAAATAAACTCCTCAGTTCTTTCTGATTCTCAAGACCGCTAATTTGTCTCAAACCATTATTCTCCAACCACAAACATCTCAGACCGGTGTATTCTTCCAAGTTTTCGATATATGAAAATCCCTTGAAATGAAGATACAAAACGTCGTTCAGATAGGGCGTCTGGTAAAGCTTCTGTTCCTTGCAGTGTTTCTTCAGATATTCTTTTGTCATCCTAAAAACATGCGCATTCATATAGATAGATAGATAGATAGATAGATAGATAGATAGATAGATAGATAGATAGATAGATAGATTTATTTGACTATGTGACTCATACAAAAATGGTTTATAGCAAGTCAGTTTCAAAGCACAAATGTATTAAAATAATATATGAAGACAAACGAACAGAATGTTGAAATACACAATGAAAAGAATACAAAGATAAAACAAACATAACATTACAAGAGCATCCTCGATCGTATCACAAGTACATAAAATTCATAAAATTGAAGTTTGATTCCATTCATCAACCGAATAAAAACAATATCTGACGAGGTGTTTCTTCACAGTAGTTTTGAAGCATATTTCATTCATAGATTTGACCTGATTTGGTAATTTATTGTAAAGCTTGAAGCTCAACGAATTTTTCTCAGTTTTGACTAATCTATAGCGAGGCACAAGTAAATCATTTGCATCAGCAGCAGACCGTGTGTTGTGATGATGAAGGCTAGAAACTTTTGGAATGCTCAGCCTTCTGGAATGAATTTCTCTCAAATTCCGAAAGATTTAAATACATGGAAGAGGTAAAATTCCTAACTGCTTGAATAAAGGTTGGCAGTGCTCTCTATAACCAACCCCTGCTATTAATCTTATTGTTCGTTTTTGTAACCTAAAAATTTTCATATAGCTTCAACTGAGTTACCCCACAGAACAGTGCCATAGCTGATCAAAGAGTGAAAAAAGCCGAAATATATATGTTTCAACATCGTCTGATATAAGCATTGTCTGAGCTGTTATACTCCAGTTTTGAAGTGACATTTTTTCAATGGTCCATCGTGTACATATTTGCCTCAGTAGTATTCGAGAAAAAAAGGAAGCAATATTGTTAATTTTATAGAGAAATGAAATGTATCATCTTCTTGAAGCACCAAAACACTGTCCATATTCATTAATTTGTGTATAGAATATATCCATGCAAAAATATTTGGGAATTTGAAGTTGTATATTGCATTTACCTTGGTTCATTGCATATGCCATCAAGTACGCCTTTTTGGCTCGTTTCTTGTATTTTTTCCTTTTCAGTTCGTTCATTTCTTGGTGGATTTTCGATCAAAGCTGACATTCTGTTTCGTATTGACAAAACACAATTTCAATATCCTAGTTACCTTAGTAACCCAACAGTATATGCCTGAAACTTGCATCAAATATGTCAAATGAATAATTAATACAAGGTAACTATGGACAGCTCGACTTGTGTAATATACTTTCTCTACAACTAAACTCAGTTTCTTTTATGTTATGTTTTTCATGATCCTCTGCACAAGTCAGAGCATTTATTTAAATCTCTTGGAGCGCACGAAACGACAGTCCTATAATGTTCGTGGAACATCGTGCGTATACTTAGGGCGGATAGGAAGAGGAGGTAGGTGTTGGATTTTTTAAAACTTTTGGAGGTTATACAGGGTGTTCCTTAAAGGCAGGCTAATATTTGAGGGGGCGATTCTTTGACACATTTTAAGAAAAACACTTATTCATATGAACGTATGTCCTAAAAGTCTTAACTTTTGAGATACAGGGTGATGAAGTTTTGAATAATATTCAGTTCCTTGATAATAACTGGGACAATATTGTATACATCTTCATGAAATTTGGCATACGTCCTTTATGCATCAAGGTGCATTTCATGATGTACACAAATTTTCATTTTCCCTACCAGTGGCACCGTTACGGGAATTTTATTGTTTATATTTTACTTAAAAGTGAACGAGGACGGACAAATTTTAAATTTCGTACATTGCTATGAAAGGCTATTCAACTATTTACAAAAAAGGTCCTCTTGTTGATACTCGATAGAATGATTCGTTTCAGAGAAAAAACGGAAAAACGAGACCAGACTTCAAATTTTGATGTCGGAGTACTCCATTCAGGAAATCCATTACTGGATAACAATAGTATGTAACATTTTGAAATTTTCATAACGATTCAGTCACATAGCAGACTTAATTGTGCCATCACGAAAAGATACAGAGTGGACAAAAAAAGAATCTATGCATATTTTCGACATTGACTCCATGTATCTCAAAAGTTAGGACGTATACCAGATATGTTTGGTATAGTCTCTATAGAAAAGTGAAAGGTCGCCGACTTTCCTACATTGTTCTAATTATACAGGGTGGCCCTTTGAAGATGAAACAGAGGCTTTGTAGGTCGCCAAAACCGGATTATGAAAAAACTCTGAAACACACGTCAACTACATTTTCGAGGGGGAGATCGTTCTAAAATATTTTCAGCCTCTCACTGTATTAAGAAGTATTGAGAAAGTACATCAATTGTGTGTTGTATAACATATTGGAGGAAAAAAATGTAATAAGCTTATGAAATATTCAGGGTGTTAATTAAAAAATGAGTCTTATCTCCAACACCATACAAAAAAAGATTGAACTGCTAAATCTCATAGCTGAGAGATCTAGGATGAACAGAGTTGTCCCAATTGTTAGCAGGAGCGAGACAGTACTGTTTCGACCCACAACCCGACGACAACTGAGACAACTCTACGCTTCGGGTATATCACCCATTTCGAAGACGCAGGGTATAACATGAAGTTGTAGTCATGTTATAGCCATCTTGTGGCAAAGCTCTGAGGCGTGTGTCGCGATATCTGTATCCTACCTTAGAGCTTTGCCACAAGATGGCTACAACATGACTACAACTTCATGTTATAACCTGCGTAAAAAAAATTGAGTGCGCCACTGGATTCTGCGTGTAATTCTCTATGGGATAAGATATTGATTTGAAATTTTCGCTGAGAAACTTCGTAGATATAGAGGGGGTTCAAAAAGTATGAATTTTCAAAATCACCCTGTATCTCATAAACGAGAAAAATCTGACTGTAGGCCATCTTGAGTGTCACAAAGAAGTGGCACAGGACCGCAAGAACCACAAGGAAGTCTCAGAAGTGAATTTCAAATATCATTTCTTTCATGAAGAGTGTGCTGACTGTCAGATAATTGTTGCTGGTGAATCACATTTCTTGTATGTGAATAAGGCATATTTGGTCCTAATAGTTATGACTCACCCTACAGGTATAAACATCTGATAATAAAATTGTTTCTATAGAATATATGAATTGGCTTAACCTTATTTGAGAAATGATCGCTAAATAGGTGGCCAGAAGAAAATAATACACGTGGATCTGATCATCATATCTTGAAAATATTCAAAATATTGATGATTTGCTTTTTGATAAAATCCCACCCAATTCAAATCTTGACAGATCTTTATCCTCCTCGATCCTGCCCTGAACTATAATTATATAGGAAGCAGTAGGGCCAACTTGTACACTTCAAATTGCACTATCAATTCGACCAATAACATCTAACTGGTATGACAAGATTTTGACAGTGCCAATCTGACAATTGAATCAAAACATTTCAGATTTGTCAATCCAAAAAATATTCAAAAACACTACCGGTTAATGTAATTTCAAATTGTGATAAGATTTTTTAATTTGTCATTTGTGCAGTTTGTGCTCCTACTATACCAACATGCCGTGTGAAATGATAACATTGCAGTTGGGCCAATGCGGCAATCAAAGTAAAAATTTTCATTTTAAAGATTAGGGGTTCCTCTAGTTATGTTTTGAAATGATTTTTCAGTTGGCTTCGAGTTCTGGAAACGTTTATGCGCTGAACATGGGATAAATCCAGAAGGAATTCTTGAAGATTATGCCACAGAAGGTAGGATACATATAATATTTGATTTCAATTTCAATTGCATTTTTCAAATCTATCTACTCTATATTTCAGGTATTGATAGAAAGGACGTATTTTTCTATCAAGCAGATGATGAACATTACATACCCAGGGCAGTGCTTTTGGATTTAGAACCCAGAGTAATAAACTCTATTCTCAATTCACCTTACTCCAAACTGTATAACCAGGAGAATGTGTTTCTTTCCAAAAATGGTGGTGGTGCAGGTAATAACTGGGCATCTGGGTTTTCCCAAGGGGAAAAACTGAATGAGGAAATTTTTGATATAATTGATAGAGAAGCAGAAGGTAGTGATAGTTTAGAAGGTTTCGTTTTGTGTCACTCAATTGCTGGTGGTACTGGCTCAGGAATGGGATCAAATATTCTGGAGAAACTGTCAGACAGGTTTCCAAAAAAACTTGTACAAACTTATAGTGTTTTTCCCAACTTAGATGAAATAAGGTAAATATATTTGTTGCTTTCACTTGTATCAGTGTTTGAAGTTCTGTTTCATCAGTGATGTTGTTGTACAACCCTACAATTCTTTGTTGACTCTGAAGAGATTAACAGAATCTGCAGATTCAGTTGTAGTTCTGGACAATACAGCTTTGAATAGGATAGCTGCTGATAGATTAAAAATACAGAATCCCACTTTCACACAAATCAATAGTCTAGTCAGTACTATAATGTCAGTTTCTACAACTACCTTGAGGTAAGTTCAACTTTCAACTTCTGTAAAAATCTTGAATGTAGCTTTTTCAAGGTATCCTTCATACATGAATAATGATCTCATGGAATTGTTGGGACCATTAATTCCCACCCCACGTCTACATTTCCTCATGACAGGTTATACTCCTTTATCAACAGATACAGATGAGGCCAGTGTGAGAAAAACTACAGTTTTGGATGTCATGAGGAGGTTGTTGCAACCAAAGAATATGATGGTATCCACTGCTCAAGATAGAAGTTCACAGCACTGTTATATTTCTATCTTGAATATAATTCAAGTGAGTTTCTTTCATTGTTACTGATATTTGTTTGGTTCAACATTTTTTATAACTTATACAAATCTAGAAGCTGAATGATATCAAAAGTGATTTTGAAAACATATCATCTTGGATGCAAATTAATGAGTTGACTCTGAATTATAACAAATCTTCATATATGTATATCTCCAAGAGATTATTTAATATTTTGAATAATGCAACAACTTTCAACAATAGATTCATTAAATATACAGACAATGCAAATTCATAAGTTGACTCTGAATTATAACAAATCTTTATATATGTTCTCCAAGAGATTATTTAATACTTTGAATAATGCAATAACTTTCAACAATAGATTCATTAAATATACAGACAATACAAATTCATAAGTTGACTCTGAATTATAACAAATCTCTATATATGTTCTCCAAGAGATTAGTTAATATTATGAAAAATGCAATAACTTTCAACAATAGATTCATTAAATATGCAGACAATGCAAATTCATAAGTTGACTCTTAATTATAACTAATCTTTATATATGTTTTCCAAGAGATTATTTAATACTTTGAATAATATAATAACTTTCAACAATAGATTCATTAAATATATCTTTATATATGTTCTCCAAGAGATTATTTAATACTTTGAATAATGCAATAACTTTCAACAATAGATTCATTAAATATACAGACAATGGAAATTCATAAGTTGACTCTGAATTATAACAAATCTTTATATATGTTCTCCAAGAGATTAGTTAATATTTTGAAAAATGCAATAACTTTCAACAATAGATTCATTAAATATACAGACAATGCAAATTCATAAGTTGACTCTGAATTATAACAAATCTTTATATATGTTCTCCAAGAGATTATTTAATACTTTGAATAATGCAATAACTTTCAATAATAGATTCATTAAATATACAGACAATGCAAATTCATAAGTTGACTCTGAATTATAACAAATCTTTATATATGATTGTATATCTCCAAGAGATTAGTTAATATTTTGAATAATGCAATAACTTTCAACAATAGATTCGTTGAATATACAGACATGACAAAATTTTTAGGTCTCTATATTGATAAAAAAATATCATGGACTAATCCAGTCAAAATCTGAATTATCATTCCCATAAAATACTTGAAATGTATTCACTCTTGCCTCATTTATTCAAATTTGCAATACTTAATTTCTATTTGGGGAGTACAAATATTTTACACCTCAAACCACTAATGAAATAACAAAATAAATCAATTAAATGCATTTTTCTATCTACATTTTCTAGAACCAATGGTAAATTTATAGAAACCTAGTCATTTTCTGACTGATTTCTTTATATAAACTTGAAATATGTTGTTTCATTCATCTTGCCAGGAATAAATTGAAAATTTCAAATTTAGCTTTTAGTGAAGTCAATACAGTCCCCATAGTTATGGGACTAGACAATTGAATTACTTGATAGCAAATCTTATACATTCAAGTTGAACATTGGCATGTATCTGTATTTCACAAAGAAATAATTTTATACAATCCATTACCAAATGAGTTGAAAAATATACATGATACAAGAAGGTTTGAAATCAATCTTAAAAAATACTTGCTCAGGACAATTTGAATGAAAAATAAGTGGCCCTTTATTATATTTTTTTATATATTCATGTATCCCTATTATAAACAGAAATGTTTCTTGGGGTAATAAAGACAATCAATTAATTCAGTTTCATTCAAGGTTTATATTTCATTTTTGTTAGACCTTCCTATAATGTGAAATTTGTTTGTTTTATCAATATGATACTGAAGTATTTGCATGATTGCTATTTTTTTCACACCATATAGAATTTGTTTTAGGTTTCCAATGAGTTGTCAAATATATTTTTTATGTATCCTCAGTGTTAACAAAGAAGTTTCTTGTAGTAAAAAGAATGAAACAGATACCTGACTCTTGTCTCCAAATTCTTTAATGCACTAAAAAATTATTGACAAACAAAGTATTTTTGTTAATTACTTAATGTTGATTTATTGTATTGTATAAGTATTGTATCATAAATATGTAGGTAGGTTCTTGAACAAAATGATAACTTTTTGTAGGGTGAAGTTGATCCTACCCAGGTTCACAAATCTCTACAGAGAATTCGTGAAAGAAAACTAGCTCAGTTCATTCCATGGGGCCCAGCTAGTATACAAGTGGCTCTCTCTCGAAAATCGCCCTATATACAGTCTGCACACAGAGTGTCTGGTCTCATGCTTGCCAATCATACCAATATAAGTTCAGTAAGTATCAATAAATCACACAAAAAATTGAGTCAGTGAACTAAATAGTTTCTTTATTACAAATTTAATGATGACAAAACATTTATATCTGATCCATTTTAAAAATTACAACTATATACACTCAACTGGCCACCAAAAAATTTGCCCATATTGTTCATCCTGTAACTTTTTTAATCCTCGTCTGATTATTGTGAAATTTCATTGTTTCAAAACTGCAAATACCCATCTCCTGCTAAAGAATCCGCGAAGAAAATTGGTCCAATCACTTGGCTTTTTAAAATACCATTGATGAAAATTTTGAATAGAATCGGAACATAATTACAAAACTTGTCCGCCATATTGGATCTACCATCTTGAATTCTCTAATTTTGACGTTGAAATCATAATTTTTGGTCCCGAAAACGCCCAATTACAAATTTTGAATAGAATCGGTATAATACAAAACTCGCCCGGTATATTGGTTCCACCGTCTTGAATTTCCGAATCCTGCCCTTTCCAAGTTTTGATAAAAGAATGATAATCTCCGACCCTGAAAACACCCAGATAACAATTTTAAAGAGAGTCGGATCATAATTACAATAATCGTCCACTATATTGGGTCCGCCATCATCAATTTCCCAATTTTGACGAAAGAATCATAATCTCCGACCCCGAGAACCACCAGAAACCAAATTTGAATAAAATCGGATCCTAATTACAAAATCCGCCATTTTGGATCCGCCATCTTGAATTTCTTAATTTTGACGAAGGAATCATAATCCCCGATCACGAAAACCCCTAGGTACCAATTTTGAAAAGAATCGGATCATAATTACAAAACTCGTCCGCCATATTGGTTCCGCCATCTTTCCAAATTCCGTCCGAATTCTCAAATTCTGATGAAAGAATCATAATCTCCGACCCCGAAAACCACCAGATACCAATCTTGAATAGAATCGGACCATAATCACATAACTCGTCCGATACCTATGTTAGATCCGCCATCTTGAATTTCCTAATGGTACCGGGATAAAAGGTATTCTATAACCTTATTCTAGTACTAAGCTACCTCTCCACCAATTTTCAGCCAAATCGATCCAGTAGTTTCAGAGCCTATTTATTCAATACATACAAACAAACAATCAAACCTTTCCTATTTATAATATCAAGTATAGATAATATACTTAATTCACGTAGATGTCATAGATGTCTCTGAGATACAGATCTGCTTCATTTTTCGTTTCAATGTACCGGGTTTACCACTAAGAAAGGACGCCGGCTGTATCTCGGAAACTATTTGCCGCACAGGTTTCGGAAAAAAATATTTATGATAAAAGTGGCCAAGAAAAATCTCTGGAAATTATTTTCAAGTTTCCAGGACAGCCCCTAGAGGGCGTAATTGCATTGGCCAGTTTAATAAACGGGTTTTTATGTAAATTTGATATATCAAGTCATATCAAAAACACTTTTTTCATGTTCTCGAGGTGATTTCCAATCATTGATCGAAAAAAAAAAAAAAAATTGCGCTAGCTCTTCAAATAAAAGAGGGGGGGAAGGATGAATAGTACTTTGTAAAAACTCTCATTACTACAGTTTGGTGTAACGGAATTCAACGATTTTGGTCTCATTATGAAGGGTTTTTTTGGTTCTTCCAGATGAATCACGAATCAAGTCGATTTAAATCCTGTGGTGGCCGCTAGATGGCATCGTTCGAAAAATCAGACAATTTTCCATTTTTTTTCGAGAATTTCAAATGAAACCATATATTCATTCTACTCTAATATGGAAGTAGAGCGAACGAGAAGGAAAATGGTGGAAACCGCGAATTGATACCTCTTGAAGAACCGGTGAAATACTCGAAATAATATTATGATAATATTCACCACAGGAATCTAACTTCAATAATCATAATCATCCTGTATCTATGAAATTATGATTTCCATAATTAATTTATTTTGGTTTCACAAACTGCTATTATATCTCACAATAGTGAAGGAGACTCTTAGTAATGACATAGCTAAATGAAATGAAAGTAGTGAGTATAGGCTCAAAATATAATTGAAGTTCCATTGGAAGTTGTCACTGTGGATTGCTTATTTGTCAAAATGCCGATAACGAATGAGGAGGCATTTGACATGCTAACAGTTTAAATTTTAATATTATTCCGAGTATTTCTCCGGTTCTTCAAGAGGTATCAACTCGCAGTTTTCACCATTTTTCTTCTCGTTTACTCAACTTTCATATCATAGCAGGAGAAATATATGGTTCCATTTGAAATTCTCGAAACAAAATGGCGAATCGGCTGATTTTTCAAACGATGCCATCTAGCGGCCACCAAGGGATTTAAATCGACTTGATTCGTGATTAATCGGGAAGATCTGAAAAAACCCTTCATAATGAGACCAAGATAGCTTAATTCCGTTACACCAAACTGTAGTAATAAAAGTTTTTCCAGAGTACCATTCATCGTTCCCTCCCTCTTTTGTTTAAAGAGCTAGCGCAATTTTTTTTTGATTGAAATGATTGAAAATCAACTTGAGAACATGGAAAAAGTGTTTCTGATATGTCTTGATATATCAAATTTTCATTAAAACCCGTTTTTTAAGTTGACCAATGCTATTATGCCCTCTAGCGGCTGTCCTGGAAACTTTTATCATAAATATTTTTTTCCGAAACCTGTGCGGCAAATAGTTTACGAGAAACAGCCGGTGTTCTTTCTCAGTGGTACACCCTGTACAGACAATATCAAAGCACTCGCCTACTAACTACCTACCTAAATAGGTTGTCATCTAGAACAACGATGGTTGAACTAAATGCGTCGTTGAAAATTAAACTTGTTTTGTTGAAGGTCTATTTTTTGAAATGTTTCTTCTTTGAATGATCTTTGCTCAAAACGCAAAATAATATATTTCTAAATTTCTCTTCAACCCCTTCATTTTCTTGCTGAAATGTCAACTCCGGGAAAAAAATCATTGAAAATTTCTAGTTTGAATGAAGGGCATGATGATTATCAAACATGCTTTTTTTTTAGTTATTTGATAGAGCACTAATTCAATATGACAAACTGAGAAAACGCGAGGCGTTTTTGGATCAATTCCGCAAGGAAGATATGTTTAGAGAAAACTTGGATGAGCTGGATTCGAGTAGAGAAGTCGTTCAAGATCTTGTGGATGAATATATTGCCGCCACTAGAGAGAATTACTGTACCTGGGAGAGGACTTGAATGTTTTTTCTCCAGAAAACTGTTTTGCCATATCTTGTGCTATTTGATTTTTTAGGTCTTTTCATTTCTGAATCTCTTTCTGTTGTTAATTTTCTTAGGTCTCACTAATTTTCGAATTTTTTGTGCCAGTGAAATGCATCATGTGATTTATCTTAAGTTAGTTGAATAATAAAAAATAATTCTCCACTGCCTTTGTGTTTATTTTGAAAACAGAAATTCACCCAATGTGGTCAGAGATTGAAACAAGACACTTGGAAATGGGGAAGTTTTCTATATTGAGGTTCTTATCTCATTGTTGAGTTAGTAAAAACTCAATATATTATACATATTTTTCCTTTTTTTCGTAAGATCAAATTTTACTTCAGAAAAAATAAATAAAAGAGGGTGATTCGCCTCTTGACCTTGACCATTTCTAATCACCTGATCTGGATTAAAATCCAATAATTATTGTGAAGTTTAATGAGTGTGTGTGAAAATAATCAAGCCCTTTTATCTCTACGCCGGTATAGAGGCCGGATGATGACGGATTCATCGGGTAAAGGGGCCATACATGAAATCAAACGTGCTCCAGTAGGAGCACATACGATAGAATCTTGAACTTTGATGAACTCGGCTTCCGGGCATGGTGACGGACTAACGGTGTCTTTAGTGCTCGAGTCGAGAGATAATATTACATAACCATATATAATTCTTGAGAAAATTTAATTACCTGATCTGGAGAAATTGTTACCGAAAGGAGACAGAAATTCAATAGACCCAAAAGAAGAAGAAGAAGAATAAAAGAGGAACTTGGCTCCTCCACCATTTCTGTTGGAGAATATTCAGTTATACTCTGTATATTCTGTAGGTATATAGTTATCACCATGTATAGTTGTTTAATTTGGGACAGTTAGTTGTCAATATTATTGAAAATAGAGTAAAAGTCAGTCAAAAGCAGAGTCGTTTTAATGCAAAGATATGACTACTTATAAGCCACATCTAAGCCAAACTATTAGCCAAAACAATTTCTATGACTAATTTTCTGAAAATCCACATTCACACAGTTGAAATACATAATAAGTATATCATAAAAGCAATATGGGATAATAGGTTCTTCAATCCTACTCTGTCAAGTATTATTCCCATAAATCTCTCATTGGCTGAATGAGATTGATTACTAATAAAAATAAATTATGATATTCTGCGATAGTATCTATAATTTTTCACTATCGTTATATTACAATATGTTATTCATAACTTGTCAGTTTTTTTTCCTAATGAATTCGTTCCTTAATAAAACGGATCTATTTTCTAGGAAAGTTGCAGATTATATCTTGCAACAGCGCCTTATACTTCGAGTCCGTCCACACCACTTGAAATACTGACAGGCACAACAAGAGGAAGGAGCCATGGGTGTCGGCTTCATTCTGTTCTGACCGATGACAGTAAATTAGGAAGGATAGTATCATTGAATGTAGCCGATAGTGATCCATTGATTCAACGATATTTTCGTTCTGGATCGAAGTCTATTCGAGATATCTCAATGCATAAATAACAAAACCATCAGAATGAAGCCAACTACCCTTTGCATTCCTGCTCCGAGTGCATTTGTGGTTATGTATGTTTTTGTTTACCAGTTTCACTTCTTCTATTTTTTTCATTCGTTTTTAATTCGTTAGCTATTCGTTAGCTATATATTCTTCACTAGCAGCTGCTCTAATTTGAAAATTAAAATGACTTGGACTTTATCGTTCGCCATTCTGTACAGCGTGGACATAAAACTTATTTTATGAAAATTCATCGGAAGGAAACTTCCTCGAATATGAGCTGTTTTTTTATCTCTTGGAGCACTTAAAAGGAAATCCCTATTATGTTCTCGTACATACCCAGGGAGATGAGGTAGGTCTTGTATTTCTTTTCAATTTCTGGAGGTTGTAAGTTCTTGGGAATACTTTCGCAGACAAAGTAGTTCTTGGTAGAGAGTTGTTTGACATATCTTGAGATTGATGACAAACGTATGTGCAAATTTACAGGGTGGACTTGAAATCAATCAACCCACCCCTGTACAACATCGGATAACTATTCAAGACAATTCCGATGTGAAAGTTTTGTATTGATCTTGATATCCTGGAGAAAATTTGTTTACGTCAAAACGTTTTTCGGTATTTATGTTTATGTGATTCATCAAAGAAGATGCATATCCTCGCTAATCTTGTGAATATTTTTTATTATCAGAGAGAAAACGTATATTTCTTGGTTTATCATGAGATCATTAGGTGTGTTCAAGGAAACTGTACTGAGACAAAAGTTCCATGTTTTCAAAAACGAAGTCTATGAGAAAATATGTTTGGTTAAATCATTACATGCAGATTCCTGACTAATTAGGTATAGTAGCAATTAGCAACCTTGAGAAAAACTTCTTCTGCGGGCTCGTTTTTGTTCATTAATAAATAACAGGGTACAAAATTCTTGATTAAATTCTCAATTTCAGCCATAAACTACAAGAACGAAACGTGTTACTGGTTTATTTAAAAAAAAGACTATGAAGTCATAAACTCTTCGTGATCAGAGAAGCAGTATCTTTTTTCTTTGTTTGATAACATGTTCATGTTCATGTTGGATAATTATTTAAGTATAGTCTTAATATGGCTTAATTGCCTGAAGCTCGGTTTGTTAAGCGGCTAGTCCAGGTTCAATCCCACGCGGGTCAGTATTTTTCTCCATTTGTTATATTATTTTCGTTATGCTTTTGTTAGATTGGATTGTATTAGATAATGGGGGTGTTCGGACAATCTGCCTCCTTACCACGACCTTTCCAGATCTATTGTATCTGCCCTCACTAATCACAATGGGGAAGTTTCTTATATTGAGGTTCTTATCTCACAGTGAAGTTTGTAAAAAAATAATATATACGTGTATTTTTTCTTTTTTTCGTAAAATCAAATTTCACTTCAGAAAAAAATAAATGAAAGAGGAACTTGGCTCCTCCACCATGCCAATTGTCTTACTTTCTGAGAATCCACATTCACACAGAGTTGAAATACGATCCCCTGTGCTAGTACAACGTTGCCGACATCATAAATATGTCTAGATCTCCGGAAATTGTTCTTTGAATGCATAATAACTTTATCATAACAGCAATGGAATATAATAGGTTCTTCAATACAACTTTGTCAAGTATTATGAATAATTCCCATAAATCTCTCATTGGCTGAATGAAGTTGATTACTAATAAAGATAAATTATGATATTTTGCGACAGTATCTATAATTTTTCACTATCGTTATATCACAATATGTTATTTATATCTTCGTTGAAAGTTGCAGATTATATCTTGCAACAGCGCTTAATACTTCGAGTCCGTTCACACCACTCAAAATGCTGACAGGCACAACAAGAGGAATGTGCCATGGGTGTCGGCTTCATTCTGTTCTGACCGATGACAGTAAATTAGGAAGGATAGTATCATTGAATGTAGCCGCTAGTGATTCATTGATTCAATGATATTTTCGTTCAGGATCGAGCTCTATTCCAGACATTTCAATGCATAAATTACAAAACCATAACCTGTCAGAATGAAGTCAACTACCCTCTGCATTCCTGCTCCGAGTGCAATTGTGGTTATGTATGTTTTTGTTTACTAGTTTTACTTCTTCTGTTTTTTTCATTCGTTTTGCATTCGTTAGCTATTTATTAGCTATGCGCTAGCTATATTTTTCACCATTAGCTATTTTCAGACTAGATTCGGAATGTACTTCACAGTTTACGGCCCGGAAAATTAGAAATTGCTTTAATTTGGAAATGAAAACGACTTGGACTTTATCGGTCGCCATTCTGTACAGCGTGGACATAAAACTAGAGTTCCGAACTCATTCATCGGAAGAAAACTTCCCCATTTTTACTATTCTAACACCTTCCTCTTCTGACAAAAAAAAAGTTGGTTGTGGAATTCATTCCGAACGTTATTAAATATGTCTGTGTTGGTTGTAGAATCGGAAGGCTTCCAGAACCAGCTGCCACGTGATCCTTTTTTACTTAAAATGAAGCTGATGGTGCCATCTTGACACTAGGAGGCACGTGACCACAATCATTTTTATGCCAAAAAGTAAAAGAAGAGGTGTATTTTTACCTGAATTTCACCAGACCTTGATAGCTTGTTCCGTTCAAAAGTTGAGGGGTAGAGGAGGGTATACGTCCTCACTGAATATTTGTAGTGGAGACAAGTTCAAAAGAACATGTATTGTGGTCATTTTTTGTTGCAGCCTCCAATTTTTTCCGTACAACCTTCTGCACAGATTGAAGGCTACTTAATTTCTTTTTATAATTATTTTGTAGCTGTTTATTTCTTGTTATACGACGCTATACATAGTGGAGTATACTACGGCCTTGCCAAAAATGCTATCTCGGAAACTAAGCGAGATAGAGGTATAGTTACTTTGGAGAAAATGATCCCCATCGAATTTTGAGCAACTTTGGTTTTTGTGTGTGGTCTGTCTGTCTGTACTCTGTGGTAATCATAAATCGATATATCTCCGGAACCCTTTGACATATCGACTTGAAATTTCGCCATCTTATTGTACTCAAAATAATATCATGTCATCAAAATATGAAGGAAATCGGAAAACTCTAAGGTGGTTTTTCCGTTTTTTTTTTCGATTTTTCACCGGAAGTTTCTTGTAACCACTCTATAAATCGCAAAATTGGTCCGATCTATTACAGAGAGAGACGAAGCCTATTGAAATTGAGCAGGGTCGGAAAATTCCAAGTGGGTTTTTCAAGGAGATTTTCCGAAACACACGGTTCGCTTTGAAACGACATATCTCCTGAACCAATAGACTAAATCCAAATTTCAAAAATGCACCGTATGCCTCTTTGATGACGCAACAAATTATTATATTACCATTTTTTCGTGCATCCATCGGAAAATGGAAAAACAAATGAAAATCAAAACATCAAAATTTGAAATCCTTTCAATTCAATATATATCGAAAACAACTGAAAATATCTGAAAATGTTATAGAACCAAAATTATTCCTTTTGATAGAATCTACAAAAAATCCGTATAACATTTTTCTCTGAATTCAATAGTTCGGGAGATACGATGAAAAAACTAAAAACTTTACAAGTTTCTAGATAATCACTTGCCAATAGAAAACAAAAGAAAGTTAAAAAGCACCCTCGACTGTCTTGATTTTTTTCTCATAAACTACGTACCTAGCTCACTCGACTGTCTTGATTTCTCACAAAGAAGAAATATGTTGGCATTGTTTTAATTTTCTTTTGTTTTTGTTTTTTTTAGTCCCTAGTTATTGGCAGTCGAGTGGGCTAGGTACGTAGTTTGTGTGGAAAAACCAAGACAGTCGAGTGGGCTAAGTACGTAGTTTGTGGGAAAAATCTCCAGTTCTCTGAACTTTCATAGCGTCGTATACACATCTTTGGTGCCCAATGATAGTTTCAATATAAAAATATGCTCATGATATGGTGCCATGGCCTCTACTTCCATCTTACATGAGCAATGACAAAATATCATCTGCTTTTATAGCGTCGTATAAATTATCTGACCTCTATACTAATCTAATACCTAATGAAAACTACATCTATACTAATCTGATACCTTTCAAAAACTACGTACCTCACTTGTTATTTCACGGTCAAAGGTGACTCCAAAGAATAGACGTGTACACCTTAGTAGAACTTAACTCAAAACATGTTTAGAATGATCCTTTTATACATAAATAATGATTGACGACATAATTCGATCGAAAAATGAACTGGAATGTTTTATTTTTGGACATAAATAATAGTACCTTCTGAAAACGGACCCTCTTATGACGTAGAAACCTCATCTCGCCATAGTTAGAAGGAAATACCAAACGCCCGACGGAGACTGAGGCAACTAATATATTAATTCTTTCAACTGTGATCTCGCGCTAATTCACTCTGTCAGAAATCATGTACCGTTCATCTCTGTCTGGAATAGTCTTGTTTCAGTATTAGGGTTTTGACGTCACATCATCGCCTCGTTTTCAGAGGTCCGAAAAATCGGGGATTTCAATAATTTTTTATAAAACGTAGGGAGCTCACAGCAAGAAACGGTTTGCGGTGGTGAGCTCGTTTGGGTCAGTTCTATCGAATTATGAAATAAAATTTTTTTGTGATATATGCCCATTGTGCCTTGTAGAGCAAACGGAATTTTTACCCTGTTGAATACTTACCTTAATCCTTAAAGTATATCTGTTGAGAGCTGTTTTTGTAGAAAAAATATTGGGTGTACGACAATCAGAAATAATGAACACACTTAATAATGATTTCCTTTTATTTATTTTTCATAGTCAAAATATAATAATTATTATAACCCTTACAATATGATAAGCAAAAATTGGACACACTATTATTGGAAAATGTAAAACCCAAGTAACACTGATCAGTTCAAAGCAAAAACATTGTAAAATTGAAAATCTATATGGTTTGTGAAAAACTATAATTGTTTGAAAAGTTGCATGAACACAAATACAGTAGAAAATATTTAAAAGAAGCAGAAATTATTTCGAAAAACTTGTGCTCTAGAAATGATTTTTTGAAATAATTCCTTTACAATTATCATTGAAAAATAGAATTAATATCGCTCACAGTCTTTTCTTACATTTATGTTACAAAAAAATATCCAAATAAAAACATTTATCAACACATATATACAATAATATACAAAAAAATACATATCCATAAGTTTACCATTACAGGATTCTGATAAGACGAAATATTTCATAAAAAAGTTTTCAGCAAAGCCCCATGAAATGACAAAATATCACCTCATATTTTTCAATGAATAAAATAGTTATTTTTGTACCTAGAGCGCGAAATGCTACTTTGGTGATCGAGATCTGATTTTTTTGACGAGGCGTAGCCGAGTTGAAAAAATAGTCGAGATGACCAAAGTATTTCGCGCTCGAGTTGCAAACAAATTTTTTTCTACAAACGCCGAAATAGTCTTGAACTGGCTTAAAATGCCTTCCCCTATCCTCCCTAGGTACGCACGATGTTCCACGATCATAATAGGAATTTTCTTTCCTGCGCTTCAAGAGATAAAACAAAGTTATTGTTGAACATTCAGAAATAAATGATTTCGTGGATGTTTGCTCGATTGAAAACCGTGAAGTAGAAATATAAATATCTCATATATTTTACATAACAATGCGCGAAGTAGGTACTTCGCGCACTGTTTTACTTCGCGCATTGTTAGGTGCAAGGTATCATGGTAACGTAGGAAACTGAAAAAAGGGTCACTTCGCACTTTGTTTTCAATGTGCGAACCTTGTCATTTTTTGACGTTTGTAGAAAAAATACCTTTCTGCTCTGATTGAACATAGTGAACTTCAAAAAATATCAAATATCCTCATGATTCGCATTTTTGGTTTTGAAAGTGTCATTTTTAGATGTACATATAGACTAGCCAGGTGTCGAACAAAATTACACAAATTTAACAAAATTATCTGTTTATATTATGAGATCTTTTCGTGGTGTATACAATATTAATTTTTGGACATCTCATGAAAATTCAGTTTTAATGTTGAGCAAGTGGAAATATTATAAGGGGAATGCGTTGTTCTCGAAGGGTTGAACTAATATTTTTTATGAATATATTTCAAAATCGTGGCCAGAATATGTATTTATATAAACATTATATTACATGAAGAAATTGGCTGTGAAAAAACGTGTTAAAAATATGCAATTACACTAAAACAATAAGCAGTAGCTAAAAATGTCCAAGTTTTTCTCCTTCTAAAACTTTGACACTTTTAAGTTACCCTGTATAATATCCAATATCCTTTCTTTCAACATTCTTATATTTCTAATCTGTCCCTATCGAATATGTACATTCTTTACATTTTATTTTGTTAAAATATACCTCTTTCCTTTCATTTTTTTCTGTATTCCTCTTCTCCTAGCACATTCATCAGTCAGTTCCCAAAAAATCAACTAAACTTTTCTGTCTTTGATATAGGGTAGCTGCATATCTTGAAGGGATCTTGACTAAAGATGTGACATTCTGGATTACATACAGTGGCATGTGTAAATAGCCTGCCCCTATGATTTCTTTTCGAGAGTGTGTATTGTTTGATGTACAGGGTCTTCGCGTTTATTTTGACCCCCCACTTAACTTTTTTGTGTATTGTAACATTTTTTTTTCAAGGCACGTTCTTTTATATTTTTTCCTGTAGATTTCATATATGCCAACAGAAAAACAGTTGAACATCTCAAAAAATACTTATGGGCAAACTTTATAATGTTTTCAATAATTACATTATTAGATTCTCCCTGGAAAGCTGATTTCATCGATCTATCACAGTTGGGGTCTAGCTGAAATGATTACAGAGATATATATACAGGGTGGGCCACCAGTAACGCCTCGGTCTCTAGAAGGCTAACCACTTATCTTCTTGGAATTCTTCCTCTCTAGGAATTTGCATGTCAACATAGGCTACCATTTAAAATCATTTCGAAACATACAGGGTGTCCCCACAAACCATAAAACACTGAAGTTAAACTTTTTTCTATCGAACACCCTATATATTTTTTCATTTTGAGATTCTCCCTGATGAGCTGATTTCAACGACCCATCATACTTGGGGTCTAGCAGTTATAATTACTGAAATATAGGGTGTGAAAAATCGAGATTTTCCAAGTTCAAGAATTTTTTGTGTCGAAACTATTCATAATTGGTCAAAACGGCTTACATGTCCCTATCTCAACTTTTGATTAACTATCTACTGATATTTAATTGGGACATATACCGGGTGATCAAGATTCTGAATTCTGCACCACCCTGTATTTGTTTCAATTAAATGTCAGTAGATAGTTGATCAAAAGTTGAGATAGGGACATGTCAGCCGTTTTGACCAATAATGAATAGTTTCGACAAAAAAAATTCCTAAAGTTGAAAAATGACGATTTTTCACACCCTATATCTCTGTAATCATTTCCGCTAGACCCCAAGTGTGATACATCGATGAAATCAGGTCTTCAGAGAGAATCTGAAAATGCAATAAAATACAGGGTGTTCCATTTAAAATAACAAAGTTGTTGCTACTTTTCGATAGAAGCGGCAACGCCGCAGAGCTGAAAATATTTTAGATCGATAGACCAAGAGCAACTACGTGAGTAACCAAAATTTCAGAATGATCCTATGTCCCGTTCTCCATAAACGTCTATATAACGTACCATCGACCGTGAGTTACCCTGTATATGCCAACAGAAAAACAGTTGAACATCTCAAAAAATACTTATGGGCAAACTTTATAATGTTTTCAATAATTGCATTATCAGATTCTCCCTGGAAAGCTGATTTCATCGATCTATCCCAGTTGGGGCTAGCTGAAATGATTACAGAGATATATATAGGGTGTGAACAATTATTTTTTCAACTGTAGGAATTTTTTGTGTCGAAACTATTCATTATCGGCCATAACTGTTTTTGAGTCCCTATCTTAATTTTTGATTCACTTTCTACTGACATTTAATTGAAAGAAATACAGGGTCATCAGAATTCTATATTCTTCACTACCCTGTATTGTAGATAATACATCAAAAGTTAAGATAGGGACATGAAAACCGTTTTGGCCAATATGAATTCCTAAAGTTGAAAAAATCCCAATTTTTCACACCCTATATCTTTGTAATCATTTCAGCTAGACCCCAACTGTGATAGATCGATGAAATCAGCTCTCCAGGGAGAATCTTAAAAAGCAATAAAATACAGGGTGTCCTATTGAAAAATCTTATGTTGCCCATAAGTATTTTTTGAGATGTTCAATTGTTTTTCTGTTGGCATATATGAAATCTACAGGAAAAAATATAGAAAAACGTTCTTTGAAAAAGACCCTGTACCTATGAAGTGAAAAAATTCTTGAGGAAAATAAGAAAGAATTGCATTTTTTGGTTTATCCGGAAACGACAATAATTTTCGATTTTTAAAATCATATGTTATTTTTTTCTCATCATGGATACCAGGAAAAAATAATATTTCACTTACTGTTCTCAGATGGAAATATACAGGGTCACGACGAGCTTACACAAAAATTCATCTGAAACAAAATTTGTTGCTATTTTGGAACTGTAGAAAAAATTATTTTCCTGATTCAAACTGATCTCTCAGAGAAACAATAAATGTAGGTAGATTTTTTTTTTTTGGAAAACGTATAAGCAAAACAAGCATTGTATTTCCATGCTCCCAGTAGAAAATTGAATGTTGATGAATCTCATTGTTGATATAAATAAAATAAAACTAGGTGATAGCTAAAACAGGAAAAAAATTGTAAATGTAATGTATTGGCGATCATTTCAACGATAAATTCAGGAAAAATTGAGTACTTGATGAATGCCTCATTTGAGAAAAAAATTTTTCCTAGGCAAAATCATTGGGGTAGGTACTGAATAAACATCCACTGTTGTTGTTTTTGGCAATTTCAAGTACCAAATATATAAAACTTTTATGCTATTGTAATGAGAATACTGACTTCATTATAAAATGCCTACCTAAATATTTTGGTATTCTAATAGACAACAGGTTTTCAGACAATATTTAGAATAAATTCTATAAATAGTGTATAAGGGAGGCAACACCAATATAATAATGTATACAATATTACAAAACAAAAGTAAATCCACCAGTGAACCGCGTATCGCCTTCGCCTCAAAGTAAGCACACAGTCAATATACAGGGCGATTCACGTAGGTCTGCTATAAATTGAAAATCTATTTACTTTTCCCACATGCTAGGTTATTTCAACATAATTACTATTCTTTTTTATAAGACTCATAAGATCCACATTTCAGTTATATACAGGGTGTTAACAAATAAGTGTCACAACGGAAAACTGTAAATTGCTCATGAAAAAAGAAACATTTTTTCTCTATAGAAATTTTTCTCCGGGCTTCCGTTATCAAGATACAGGGCGTCAAAAAATACAAAAAAATCTGTTTTTTGCTACTCTCTCAGGAACCGTCTTTGCTACGGATTTAAGCCGTCGTATACACTTCATCATCAATAATGACGACTTCTAGGGCTCTTGATCAATTTTCTTGGACATGTCAGTGAAGGAGAATTCAACGCCTCGTAAGGGTTTAACCCCCCAAACATTTATGCCACTGGAGAAATTGTAATTTTCAAAGTAGATTCTGAAGCGCCAATATCTTTCACACAAAAATCGTCCTTTTGTCTCAATGCTCTAAAGTCAACAGTTTCCGCGAAAAATGGCTCTTTATGAATAAAAACATTCAAAATCCTGATGGTATCTCCAAAAATCGTCTGAAAATCCACTGGAAATAAACACCTCAGAACTGTCTAATAATATGTTCAATCAAATGTCAGATTCTTGAGTATGCTGATCTCGATGCTGGTTTTCGAATTGTTAAGTTCATCAAGTGTTGTAAAGTGTGTTGAATTGAACTGAACATTTTTGATTTTTTGACACCCTGTATCTTGAACACGGAATACCGGAGAAAAAAATTTGAAGAGGTAAGAAATGTTTCTTTTATTATGAGGAATCCGCTGTGACACTTATTTGTTAACACACCCTACCCTGTATACTCTTGTTTTTTCTAATCTAAAAGTTTTGTCCTAATTGTTTCCGATTAACACTTCCAACGTTCCATTTGTTCTTTAAGCAAGTTTCAAGACTTGTTGTCGATATAAAATGACTTCCGTCCACAGTATAATTTATTATGTTTTCTAGCACTAGTAATCAAATCCTGTTACTCATTTTTTTTTGTTAATGCAGTAGGTTTACGAAAATAATGAACTTGTTTATATACTTCTGATTTATGGTGATTAGTGTCGCCAAAGTGCGGCAGCAGCATTTCGTAGACTCCTGAGACTAAAGTGAGAATTGAACCAAACGTACCTCAGGCCTTAGAATTGAATGTTCACTTTTTATTTTTATACAAAATCGTGTCTTTTGAATTCGTGGAGGAATGTGTGCCACATATCGAATATCTACACTAATATCATGAAGACAGAATATTTCCTTGTTTGTATTGAATAGGCTCCGAAACTACTAGTCCGATTTGAAAAATTCTTTCACCATTAGAAGCTGACTTTATCCCTGATGAACATAGGATACTTCTTACCGCTGGAAAACGCTTCATTCCTATGGAAAAACGGGTAATAGGACAACGGGTAGTAAAAATTCTCCTTCCGTACTTATATTTTTCACATAACATCTAAACGACTGAACCGATTGGGTTGAAATTTTGTATGTTTAATACTGCTAAACTTAGAGATAAGTTTGGTTCGTTGGCATCGTTTACAGACCATTCAGGGACCTGTATACCAGGACCGGAATAGGGCCAAATTGAAATCGACCTGTCCGAGCGATTTTCAATTTTTCCAACGACATCAGAGATTAGGGGGGTGACAATTTTTAGCTGGGACACACTGTATATGATTTTATCCATGAACGCATATATTTGAGAGCGTCGTTCTTGAAATAATTGTTCCTTGAATGAGGGAGCAAAGGCTTACTTTCGATGCAGGGAGTAGATAAAATCAATTTCGTACGTTGACTGTGCGCTTACCTTAACTTCCATATGTGAGCTCTGCTTTATAAAGATGGCGACTTCAACAGGAATATCGGCTCGTTTTTACGGGTTCGCAGTGTATGTTCAAAAGTATAAAATATCCTATATTCGTATAATATAACAATGGTCGTTTTACACTTGTCAGGCGTATTCAAGCCAGTCGTACTAAAACTATCAAGGAATAGTGATAAAAGTAAACTTTCACAGCTATAGCTCATTTTTTTTTCCATGCTGCCTCATCAAAATCACAGTTCTTATCTACACCAAACCGAATGAACCGAATTGGTGAATAAATAAAAATAAATAAAGTTCAAAAACGCTGTGAAAATTAATTGAAATATCTGTTGCTCCAGTTTTGTACTTGGCATTAAAATTCATGGAAAAAGGTCTATCAATTAATAAATAGATCAGAAAATGATTCCAACCACATTTTATTTATTACTGGCAAGAATATTCAGAACACTTAAGCAATTTCTTCGTTGTATTATAAGCTCCATATTTATCCATTATGATTATTGTACATTGTTCCATGTGGTTGAAATCATTTTGTTCGTAACATTTTTACAGTATAGACAAATTCATCGCTCAAGTAAAAATAAATAATTTTTATACTTCAAAAAAGCCCAACAAGAATCACAAAGAACAGCCCTTTTCTCAAATACCAGCTGCAGCATCCCATAGACAAAAAAAACAAATAAAATTCACTAAACGATGTAGAAATATTGCTTCTAAAGAGATATCCAGTTTAGGCCCATGTTATCATCTCTAAAATCTAAAACAATTCCTAAGTGTCGCAACAATACCTGGAAGTTTGAAAATCTTCCGGAGTTGAAAGTTTTCCAAACCGAGTTTCCGCTCATTTAGAATCAATACTTCCACATACCGAAATCAATATAATGTAAAAAATTCCACTAATGTTCATCACTGTTCATATTTCGGGGTGCAAAAAACACTTAGTATTCAGATAAAGTATGGAGAACTGCCTTTTTTCATCATCTCATAATAATCACAGACAGCAAAGACAGAACGGCTAAAATTAAAGTCGGGACTAACAGTTGACTCGAATTCGATACGTCACTTTCAGCACAGGTACCTGAAACAAAAATCACCTTCAGAAATTTGAAGAAACAGACCAATAATAGAAGAGCCGGCTCATACCAAGAGCCTTCGAAAATTTTAAAAATTATCCTTAGTTTTTGAGTTATATCGAAAAAAGTGAATTTCCGAAATATCTATTTCAATTTTTTTCTCCGTTATTATTAGAGATACAGCAAAATTGAGAATACTTTTTAATAGCAACTTTTGATGGCGTTCAACGTGGTGATACCGATTTTTTTATGCGACGTTTCGTATTCGTGGAACCATCATCAACTTTTGTTTCTTGAATGCGGTCCTGATAATTTTTTCACAGATTCTGAAAGGTTTTTTAATTCTGAATTCAACCATGTATTATACAAGGTGTTCGAATGTGTTTCGACCTATTTCTATCCATCATCAATGTTTTTTCAAAATTCCAAAGGAAACATGTCATCATAGTTCCACTTATTTTGAAGGAACATTAGTCAACACACTAATACCTCATCAACTGGTTTCAATCAACAACCCATTTCTTTTTGCGGAAACAAAAATTCTATCCATACAAATTCAGAATATGTCAAGTGCTAAAACCAGGCGATGACGAAAGGCGCAGGACATTCTGTGAGTGGTATACCAGGAATCCAGGAAATGTCAAAATTTTGCAGATTTCCCTGGAACAATCATCTGGACTGATGAAAGCATGGTCACTAATCATGGTATCTTCGATAGAAAAAATACACATTATTGTTCACGAGGAAATGAACATTTATACATTACAGCGAGACACCAACACCGTTTAATATGTGGGTTGCAATATTTGGTATACGAATTATTAGTCCTTCTATTTACCATGAAACACAGACTTCCGAACATTATAGAAATTTGCTTAAAAATCATCTCGAGGAAGCTCTGGATGATTTACCGATTGCGGAAGTTCAGAACTGTTGGTTTCAACAAGATGGCGCTCTGGTACATACTTTCAGAGAAGTCCGTGCGTTTTTATCCAGAAAATGGATTGGTACTCATTCTACAGTCCCTTACCAATGTCTTAGAAGCAACTGTGAGAAGAGGATATCTTTGTTCAGAAAATAATGGTTATCATTTTGAACATTTGTTATGAATGTCTTTGTAGGTATTGTCAAAGTTAAGTTGTTAAAGTAATTCGTGTAAGAATTCATCAACAATTTTAAACGCTGCATTGATCGAATGATGTAGTGAAATATTTTTTATTCACTTTCCAGTAATGAATAACTAATCCATCAAGTTTGACACTAAATGATCAGAAATAAGTGGAACTGATGGCTATTTTCCTTTGGAAGTTCAAAAAAGCATTGATGATGGATAGAAATAGGTCGACACATTCGAATCACCTTGTATAATACATGGTTGAATTCAGAATAAAGGAACCTTTCAGAATCTGTGAAAAAATTATCAGGACCGTATTTAAAAAAAGAAGTTGATGATGGTTCTACGGATACGAAACGTTGCATAAAAAAATCGGTATCACCACGTTAAACTCATCAAAAGTTGCTATGAAAAAGTATTTTCAGTTTTCCTGTATCTCTCATAGTAACGGAGAAAAAAAAAAAATGATTTCGAAAAAAATATGAAATTTATACCAACTCTTCTAGAATTTGAGATATCAGCACCAACTTTAGTTTTTCAAATGTAGGTCATAGCTCACTATGACTTATTTACAAATAACTTTTTTTCTCTTACAGATGATATGTCGCAGTAATAGTTTTGTGTTGGTAACAACGGAGTAATCGTCATTTATACAAAAACAAAAAATTATTTGGAAGCCGCCATCTTGAATTTATAAATTTCAACAAAAGACTCATGATCTCCGACCTCAAAAACCCCCTCTTACCAATATTGAATGAAATTGGACCAAATCTTGTCCGCCATTTTTGTTGAAATTAAAAAAAAATGGCTGCTCCAAGAGACAAGATTTGGTCCGATTCCATTCAAAATTGGTAAGTGGGGATTTTTGAGGTCGGAGATCATGATTTTTTGTTAAAATTTATAAATTTAAGATGGCGGCTTCCAAATATTTTTTTGTTTTTGTATAAATGACGATAACTCCGTTGTTATCAACACAAAACTATTACTGTGATATATAATCTGTAAGAGAAAAAGAAGTTATTTGTAACTAAGTCATAGTGAGCTATGACCTACATTTGAAAAACTAAAGTTGGTGCTTATATCTCAAATTCTAGAAGAGTTGGTATAAATTTCATATTTTTTTCGAAATCACTTTGAAAAACTGCCATGAGAATGTGAAACTTCTATTTGAATATTTTCATAAATAAAGAAGTTATGGAGGAGACATGAAAATGATCAAAATCTGTTTTTTGCGTATAAAACAAAAACGAATAGATTTTATCGAAATATTTTTCCACATTATAGTTGGCCTTGACAAACTCCACATTTGGTGTCATTGAACCAACCTCGTATCTCTCACCGTTAAAAAGATACCCATGGTGAGCATGGTAAGTGGGACACACTGTATTTATCTGAAATCTCAAGTAGGTACTGTTATTGTTTAGGTAATTCTAGGTACGTTGCTGTTGGAGGTTACTCTGTCGTTTAGGTTGTTGATGAGTCAATGCCAAAACGTGTTCCAAAGTTCCAAATGTTTATGAACTTTCGGTGCGATGGAAGAAGCACGATTTGGAAATTACGAAAATATTGAATTAATGATTTCGATCATAATTTTGGAATAATTACTTAATTGTGACAATATTGAGGGTAGGAAGATTTCGAAATGTCACCTCTCTATTTCGCGTTCTAAGACAAATACTCACCATTCCTGGTGAAATTGAACGCCCAATTTCCCGTGACGCCGGGCACGACGGTCCTGTGACAGCTCTCGGAGACGCCTGACAGTCGCAGGACGGGCGGCCCGACGCCTTTGCCCAGGCTGCCCTCCAAGACTCCGGCGTCGGTCTCGGGCGCCAGCGTGTAGATGAAGCAGTAGCGGAGGTTGTCGGTGGACTTGCGGGACACCGGAGTGGTGATGACGTAGGAAATGCCGTTTTCCTCCCAGCTGCCGTGGCAGGAGTAAGCTGTAAATAATAATAATAATAATAATAATAATAATAATAATAATAATAATAATAATGTTCTTTTTCTACTCACATAACTAAAATGGCATTTAGCGTACGGATATGTACAGGGTGATTCACCATAAATGTCCCCCCCTCTAGCTCACTTATTTTTGAACCGTTTTAAAAATTTGAAACAATCTAAAATGATTTTTCAGTAATTTTTTTCCCGTTGCATCAGAAAATACAGGGTGCTCGGGACAAACGATCTACAGAGTAATTATTGATTTTTTAAAATGAAACACCCTGTATTTTATTGTATTTTTAGATTCTTCCTGAAGAGCTGATTTCATCAATGTATCACACTTGGGGTTTAGCGGGAATGATTACAGAGATATAGGGTGTTTAAAATCGAGATTTTCCAACTTTAGGATTATTTGTGCCGAGGTCAAAACGGCTCCTATGTTCCCATCTCAACTTTTGATTTACTATCTAGTGAAATTTAATTGGAACATTTACAGGGTGGTTCAAGATTCAGAATTCTGGTCACCCTGTATCTGTTCCAATTATTAAATGTCAGTAGATAGTAAATCAAAAGTTGAGATGCGGACATGAAAACCGCGTGACCGATAATGAATAGTTTCGTCACAAAAAAATTCTATAGTTAAAAATCTCGATTTTGAACACCCTATATCTCTGTAATCAGTCCCGCTAGACCCCAAGTGTGATACATTGATCAAATCAGCTCTTCAGGGAGAATCTAAAAATACAAAGAAAAATAGGGTGTTTCATTTAAAAAAATCAAATAGTACCCTGTAGATCGTTTTTTCCGAGCACCCTGTATTTTCTGATCTAGCGGAAAAAAACTTTATCGAAAATCATTCAAGATGATATTTCAAATTTTAAAATCGGTTCAAAAATAACTGAGCAAGAGGGGGGGACATTTATGGTGAATCACCCTGTACCACGCTGAATGATCGATTAATCACGGATTGACGATCTGTGATTTATTCAGAATATTAAACACGTTACCATGGCAACACGATTTCTTGAACACATTACCATGGCAACAGAGTTTATTAAACACAGCTTCAGTAATTTCAGACATGTCTGGTCTGTCAATTGTATTAACTGACAACTGTTATTTTCAAATTTTGTATCAGAATTATTCAAACAATATTCTTTTGTATCACAATTCATCATTAAAAATATATGCGAAAAGTAGACGAAAGTGAAATCGAAGAGAATGTTCTGGTACTTGCATATCTCCAAGAAGTGTAAAGATGGAGCATCTATCTTTAAGAGCAATTCATTTAGGCATTCTGCGCTAAGCATGAAAATAAACGTGAATCAAAGGTTAGTTAGTAATGGACTGGAAACATCTACAACCAATATCACTTAAACGTGTCTCGCTGGTTGCATGCAGTTGCATGTATTATGTTGTCAATTTCCATTCCATTCGAATTATTTTGTAGGTTAGCAGAGGAATAGCAGGTATGTTAATGTAATTTTCGGAGTTCGTAGAAAAATCATAGTATGTAACGCGTTTATAAACTCTTCTAGACACTCGTTTATTAAACACTCGCTCCGCTCGTGCTTCGCTCGTGCTTAAAATACTCGTCACTAAAAGGACGTTTATAACACTTGTTACATAATATACTATTAGCGTAGGGATATGTACCACGGTGAATGATCGATTAATCACGGATTGTCGATCTGTGATTTATTCAAAATATTAAACATGTTACCATGGCAACACGATCTCTTAAACACATTACCATGGCAACGCAGTTCATTAAACACAGCTTCAGTAATTTGAGACATGTCTGGCCTGTCAATTGTATTAACTGTCAACTTTTATTTTCAAATTTTGTATCAGAATTATTCAAACAATATTCGTTTGAATCAGTATTCTTCATTAAAAATATATGCGAAATGTAGACGAGAGTGAAATCGAAGAGAATGTTTTGGTACTTGCATATCTTCAAGAAGTGTGAAGAAGAAACATCCATCTTTGAGAACAATTTATTTATTCTGCGCTAAGCATGACAATGAACGTGAAACAAAGGTTAGTAAGCAATGGACTGGACACATCTACAACCAATATCACTCATACGTGTCTCGCTGGTTGCATGCAGTTGCATGTATCATGTTCTCAATTCCCATTCCTTTCGAATTCTTTTGTAGGTTAGCAGGAAAAACAGGTATATGTTAATGTAATTTTCGGAGTTCGTAGAAAAATCAAAGTATGTAACGCGTCTTATTGATGATTATTATGTAATTTTTTCGATGGCATGTGGTTCTCACACGGTTGTCATCACATCAATGTCATTCTTCATTCTTTGCCGTTTTATTCGTTCCTACACAATGCTTACACCAGAGAATCACAAATAAACGCAACTTATATCAACTGAACAGGAAGCAATGCTATTGTCTCCGTTCAGAAGAATGCACGCAAATTCCTCGATTTTTATCTTTTGGTTATCTCTTCTCCAACCCCTTTTCAATACAAATTGTCACTGACAAGCTAGTGAATTTTTCTGTGAGGCTCTCTGATAGGAAAATTATTTAAAGGCATTGACATTTTGGGGCAAATCATTTGATTTTTTCTTTATATTGAAATAATATTCATATTTTTATTTTATAGAGACGAGGAGAGAGAATCCAAAAAAATCTGGGAGCACGAAATTCGTGGAATAGTAAGGTGGAAGTCCTGGCCAACTTATTCAGATTTCCCATCAATGCTCCTATTTTTTCGTACCATATGAACGCAGGCGATTTTCGATTGTTGCATTGAAATATTGCCAAAAACTCAAAACATTTGCAAATAACACCTACTTTTTTTTACACCATATTTATATCCGTATAGTCACATGAGTATATCGCATTTTCATAAACGAAATAAGGAAGTGTAAAAATATCAACAACGTATATTCAACCTTACCACTAGATTCTGGAGAACACGTTGATCTGAACTCCATCTCGTGGGATCCACTGCAACCAACAGCTAAGGCTTCATAGTCATTGCTCACGCAGTCAGGTTTCTGATTAGTCACGATATTTTTGTCGTCTACTGAAAATTTCAACATCATTATCAATTCACATAGGATGAAAAATGTCGATTATTACCTGGTTGTTGTCTTTTCTTTCGTTTCTCGGCTTGAGTGGAAATACCAGCAACAGTATATCGTCCTAATTGAGGACATTTCTTTGGATGAAGTGTGGTAGCTGGAAGATATACAGATTGAATTAACAAGAGTTCACAGCCAAAAAAGTCTTTTTTGTGTTCTGGTTCCCACGAAAAGGGATATCCTATAATGGTCAGAGAACATCGTGAGAATCAAGGGAGATAAGATAGGAATTGGTGTTCTTCTTGAATTTCTGGAGGTTATATGCCTCGGGGAACACCTCCCTTGGCAATGTGTTCCAGAGGCTCGCTGTTCATTGGATGAACGAGTCTTTGGAAAGAGATGTTCTGCAGGTCTCCAAAGTGACCACGAAGGAGTGCGAAGCCTCAACTCGACGGGTTAATCTCGCGGGGACTGCCAAGGGAGTAACAATTGTTGAAATTTCAAAAGGGCATCGTCCATGAAAATATCTATAAAATAGAGCCAGATCGCCAAATTTTCTACGGTGTCCCAGAGAAGTGAGTGAGTTTGTGAGCGAGGCATCACCCACGAGACGAATTGCCCTTTTTTGGACAAAATCCAACGGTTTCAGGGTATGTTTGGGGGTGCTGCACTCCAAATATGGGATCAGTATTTCAGGACAGGTCGGATCTGTGCCTTAAAGAGCATGAGCAGCTGACTGGAAGTGAACTAGCTCCTGGCCCGAAACAGAAAACCAAGTGTTTCGGGATGCACTTTTAGCAATTGAACTCACGTGATTTTCCTTAGGAACATATTTCATTCCGTTATCAGATGACGGTGGAAATGATTACATGTTAGCAAGATATATTGTATCCATTCCATTATTTCTGTTCAAGGACTATACGGTTAATGGATTGACCAGTTCCCTTTCGCGGTCACCCTGTATAATTACTATATCTATCGCTGATTCGATGATTCGTTAATGCATGAAGCAACAGTAGTCAACGTTATGATTTGAAAAAAAATTAAAAAACTCACTTATAAGAGTGGTGTATGGTGCAGTAGATGTATCAAAATTCGCACAGGCTTCATCCGGGTTTTCCACATAATTCTCTGTTTGCTGGAGCTCAATAACATTGGAATCCCTTTTGTAGAAAACCATGCAAACGTATCCACTGTCACTGAAACAAAATATCGAATTTCAAGTTGTTATACGCTATAGTGAGTAGGGACTTTAACTGGAGCAAAGTTTTTCAATCCTACCCCGATACGACGTTTTTCCGAACTTTGTCGGCTTATATCTCAGAAACTAAGCATACAAAACTTCTCAAACTCACATATTTTTCTAATGAGCCATCCCACATCAACATAGTTAAATTTCAGCCAATTCGACCGAGAGCCAATTTCCCGTGTTTTCGTGCGGGGTCCTTTGGAAAATGAGTAGATAAACTTAATCTACTGCAACTTACCATCCCGCCGTGACATGGGCAACGATCTGCACCTTCTTCTGCTCCTGCTGCTGCAAAATCCCATGACATACCACCCTCATCTCCGAGTTCTCCCGCCGCTGATCCTGCGACCGGAAACCAAACTCCTCGAACGCGAACGCCTGCGCGTAATTCTGCTGCTGCGGCGCGAAGTTCTGCTGCTGCTGCGCGAAGTTCTGCTGCTGCGGCTGCGCGAAGTTCTGCTGCTGCGGCTGCGCGAAGTTCTGCTGCTGGTGCGCGAAGTTCTGCTGCCTGTTGGGTTTGGGCGGGTCGTCGTCCATGATTTTGAGGGTAGCGTTCCGTTGCGAGAACCTGTAGGTCTTGTGGTGGTCGAGGCTGAGCCAGGTGTGGTGCTCGGTTATCCAGATGGGGAATTTGCAGCGCTTGTGTTGGTCGTCCACTGCAATGGTCACGATCGTCGGTTAGAGGAATCATATTCCGAAATTACATAGAAAGATTTCAACGAGATGAATAAGGTTTTTTATTCATATTTTCGATACCACTTCAGAGGCTGAAACAAGTTGTGTGATATGAATTGTCAGAAAAAAATTAGTTTTTCTTATTTATATACCTATACATGACGAAGGTGAATGCTTGTTTATTTGACATGACCTTGATAATTGAATGGCGAATGGCCGTCCCGTCAGCTGGTATGATTGTTCACCAAATAATGAATATCGAAAAATCGCAAGTCGAGTTTCATATGGAAAATTTATCATTGAAGTACATCGCGAGGAAAAAATTGTCCAATGATGTAATAGGAAGGGCAAATAGTTCTAAGAGCGGAAGCGGTACAAGAAGATAAAATTTCGTACTTTTTGGTGAAATATTTTCATTATCAAATTCGTGTTTTCGAGACAAAATTACGTAAGTATACCAAAAAACATTTAAAAAAAAAACCATCGCATGATAAGTGCAAAGTTACCTATAATTTTTTCAATAATGATTTTTTCTAGAGTATTTTCAATGAGTTTGCTATTGATTTCTTGACATATCGCCAACCTTATACTATAGAGCAGTTCAGCTAGCGTTGAGAGAGGAAAAAAAATTCTTCCTCATCAGTCCTTGTCTTCAGTGTTCCAAGATGAAAATTTTATGTTGGCACCAAGTCTTAGGTGGAAAAATGAAAATGTTCATTTGGCCTATTAAAAATCTGAAAAAATTCACATAGACTAATTCGATGTCGAAATGAACGAATCTGTGGTGAAAATCGGGAAATTTTGGAAAATAGAGACGTAGTAGCCTACCGGTGTGCTCCTATTGGCGATAAAAGCGAATAGCTGACTTTGAGCGCCGATATCTCGAAAACTATCTGTCCTATGGAGCTGATTATGGTCTCATTCGATTCAGCGTGCCATTTCCTACTGGAAAAGCGATAATTCGCGTGGATTTTTGCTGTTTTCTGGCCCTTTCGGCCGTCCGAAGATGGCTCGGTGACTATATCGTACTGAAGTCTTAGATGGAAAAATACAAATTTTTATTTGACCTATTAAAATTCTGAAAAAATCTACATAGACTGATTCGATGTCGAAATGAACGAATCTGTGGTGAAAATCGGGAAATTTTGGAAAATAGAGACGTAGTAGCCTACCGGAGTGCTCCTATTGGCGATAAAAGCGAATAGCTGACTTTGAGCGCCGATATCTCGAAAACTATCTGTCCTATGGAGCTGATTATGGTCTCATTCGATTCAGCGTGTCATTTCCTACTGGAAAAGCGATAATTCGCGTGGATTTTTGCTGTTTTCTGGCCCTTTCGGCCGTCCGAAGATGGCTCGGTGACTATATCGTACTGAAGTCTAAGATGGAAAAATACAAATTTTTATTTGACCTATTAAAATTCTGAAAAAATCTACATAGACTAATTCGATGTCGAAATGGACGAATCTGTGGTGGAAATCGGGAAATTTTGGAAAATGGAGACGTAGTAGCCTACCGGAGTGCTCCTATTGGCGATAAAAGCGAATAGCTGACTTTAAGCGCCAATATCTCGAAAACTATCTGTCCTATGGAGCTGATTATGGTCTCATTCGATTCAGCGTGTCATTTCCTACTGGAAAAGCGACAATTCGCGTGAATTTTTGCCGTTTTCTGGCACTGTGGGCCGTCCGAAGATGGCTCGGTGACTATATCGTACTGAAGTCTTATTGGGAAAATGAACATTTTCATTTGGCTTATTAAAAATCTGAAAAAAGTCACATAGACTTATTCGATGTCTAAATGAACGAATCTGTGGTGGAAATCGGGAAATTTTGAATAATGTAGACGTAGTAGCCTACCGGAGTGTTTCTTTTGGCAATAAAAGCGAATAGCTGAATTTGAGCGCCGATATCTCGAAAAGTATCTGTCCTATGGAGCTGACAGCAAGAAAATTCGCCAACAAATATTTCAGGTTATGTTGAACAGCTTATTCGACATGGAAAATTGAAGAAGCAACCTACCGTCCCTTGAAATTTCCATTACAGGGCGATTTTGGCGATTACCGTTCAATGATTAGTCATGTATAACCCGTCAGACAGTCTAGATATTTAGCCATCATTGGCTCTATCCTCTACAAGCGTCTAGCCAATGACGGCTAAATATCAAGTGAGCTGCCGACCAGGTCGTCAGCTTACTGGATATCTTAGCCGTCATTGAACCAGCGGATCTTTCAAACCTCAAGATTATCAGAAGGTGGTGTTAATAATAGCGAATTCCATAGGTAAAACTCGCTCGCACTGAGTGCGTATATTTTGTATTCTATTAGTAAAACTGGGGGCAGGTTCCGAATTCCATCTGGAAAACTGGTGCATATAGTTTAGAGCTCAGTGCAACAATTCTCGCTCAATAGTTGACTCGACTCCCATCAAAAGTTAGCATGGTAACTTTGTGGGCAGGTTTGAAACGTGATCGATATTCCCAAACAGCTGGTTGGTCAGACTGATGGTCAGACTTAATACTGAACGTATGTGCCCGGTCAAACCACAGACTTGACATAGCCGTAGTTTTTCAATATAAAGAAGGAAGCAATAGGTCGCGTGCAAGAACTGTTAGATGACCGACCCTGGAGGCAAAACATATTTGTTTAAAAGTGATCGAAATAGTTTTCCACAATTATTTTGGCATATGAATCGTATTTTTCCGCTATTCATCAATTCGCTAATGCCATCACATTGTGCTGTTGTAAAATGCACAAAAACTGCAGCGGAAGATGAAGAAATCCGGATGGTACATTATGATTCAAAAGTAAGTACCTACTATAGTCACTCACATAGTTTTCATTTTTGAAATTTGGTTATTTCTCTGATTTCTCATCGGAATTCCTTCTGCAATAGGATCAGCTAATAGAAATATACCTGAAATTTCTAGAATGATGCAGGAAGATTGGATTCATGCAATCAATCGGTAGGACTGGTCTGACATGCTGACGATCGTGTGTGTTGTAGACATTTTCAATCTATTAGCAGCATTAGCTTGTATTGCAGAAGTGGCAGAAGGCAGAAGGAATTTTAATAAGGAATGACAACATTTCATAATGCTAACTATATGAGATTACTATTTATCTGAAAAATCATATTCCCGAGTCTCTTGCTGCATTTTTTGTGCATTGTACAACAGCACAATGCGAAGGCATGCTTGAATTAATGAATAACGCAAGAAACACGATTCGTATGCCAAAATACATATTGTGAAAAACTATTTCAACCTTTTGATTCCTCTGTAACCAAATAAAAAAGTGAGGTTGTGTTTCAATAATTGACAGAAGAATGAGGTTGTGTTTCGATATTTTGCCTCCAGGGTCGGTCTTCCTGCACGCGACCTATATCATTTGTCGTGGTGACGTCACTTGACCTCGATGTTTGAAAGATTCGCTGCTCTAGCCAGACGCTTATTGTCTATTCTCTCACCAGTCGTCAATTTCATGGTCCTGCTGCCTTCGAAGGCAGTGGCGTCGATGCCGGTGCAAGTGGCGTCCCCTGACTGCGCCACGTTGTACACCGTCCTGCCGTTCTCCTGGCTGCGCTGGTAGATGAAGCACCGATACTGGTCCTCGTCGGAGGCACTTCTTCTGTCGAACTGCGAGATCTTCCCGATCAGGTACCTCGTCGACCCCTCCTTCCACGTGGCGAGGCACACCAGCTCTTCCACTGGAAAAAATGTCGATCAATCAAACTGTGCTTTGTAAAGGAATATTTTCAGATACCGGGTGACCAGTTATATTTTTCAAGTTTTTTTTGACAGGTTCACTTCTCTCTTGAACTTCCGGTTCTACCGGAAACAAACTAGCCATTATTCAGGTATACGGCAACTTTTTTATTTCATCGAAGCACCCTGTATATTTTTGCACATTCAGAAAGACTGGTCTTTTCTCTTTCTAACAATGTATAACAAGTTATGTTTTCTTAGAAAACTATCAGAGTTATAACTCTTTGAAGCATCTACTGCATATTAGGATGTTATCCTGAAATGCTGAATTACCGTATATTGAGTATAAATCTGATGCAGATTTATGATGAGTTCATTTGCTTTTTCAGTCAAAGTAAACATTTTTTCAACTCGAAGAAAGTACAAATGCTCGACAATCTTTATTTGACACATCTAATCTGGCATTTCATGTGTTGTGATCAGGATTTCCAAAGACGACTTTGGTTACATTGCAAAATCTCATTAAACCATTCCACATGCAGTAGTTGTTTCAAACAGTTATAACTCTGATAGTTTTCTAAGAAAACATAACTTGTTATACATTGTTAGGAAGAGAAAAGACCAGTCTTTCTGAATGTGCAAAAATATACAGGGTGATTCAATGAAATAAAAAAGTTGCCCTATACCTGAATAATGGCTAGTTTGTTTCCGGTAGAACCGGAAGTTCAAGAGAGAAGGTGAAACTGTCAAAAAAAACTTGAAAAATATCAAAATAGACTAGTCCAAACTGCACAACGATAACTTGAATGGTTTCAGAGATATAAGCATTTGAAATGGGTCAGAATATAACTGGTCACCCGGTATAATTATGAAACCCCATACTGTTTATAGAATAATTTATCGACTGTATCAAGGTGTAAATTGGAATAATAATGACTACCTTATGAGATATTCAACAACAATCTAATTTTATAATTTCATTTCTTCCGGTATATAAATTATATGACTTCTGTCACTGTCCTATCAATTTTTATGTCTACATCATTTATATTTTTTCAAAACTCATTATTATTCCAATTTACACTTTCTAACTCGCATTGCAAGTAAGTTCTTGTTTTTGTTGAATTCACTTGTAACAAAATGTTTCATATACAATATATTGTTTCACTCTTGAAGAAGAAAATACAAATTTTCGAAAGCTTGGCATACAGTGTGTCCCACTTACCATGCTCACCATGGGTATCTTCTTAACGGTGGGAGATACGAGGTCGGTTAAATGACACCAAATGTGGAGTTTGTCAAGGCCAACTATAATGTGAAAAAATATTTTGATAAAATCTATTCGTTTTTGTTTTATACGTAAAAAACAGATTTTGATCATTTTCATGTCTCCTCCGTAACTTCTTTATTTATGAAAATATTCAAATAGGAATTTCACATTCTCATGGCAGTTTTTCAAAGTGATTTCGAAAAAAATATAAAATTTATACCAACTCTTCTAGAATTTGAGATATGAGCACCAACTTCACTTTTTCAAATGTAGGTCATAGCTCACTATGACTTAGTTACAAATAACTTTTTTCTCTTACAGATGATGTGTCGTAGTAATAGTTTTGTGTTGATAACAACGGAGTTATCGTCATTTATACAAAAACAAAAAATTATTTGGAAGCCGCCATCTTGAATTTATAAATTTTAACGAAAAAATTATGATCTCTGACCTCAAAAACCCCCACTCACCAATTTTGAATGAAATCGAAACAAATCTTGTCCGCCATCTTGGAGCAGCCATTATTTTTAATTTCAACAAATGTTGCAAGTGAATTTTGACTCACTTCTTGCCGTCCTATCAACTTGAAATTTGGCAGATATTCGTAAATCCTGTGACAATACATTATGGAATCTTTGTTGATATAAAAAAAATGGCTGCCTCAAGATGGCGGACAAGATTTGGTTCGATTCCATCCAAAATTGGTGAGTGGGGGTTCTTGAGGTCGGAGATCATGATTTTTTTGTTAAAATTTATAAATTCAAGATGGCGGCTTCCAAATAATTTTTTTGTTTTTATATAAATGACGATAACTCCGTTGTTATCAACACAAAACTATTACTGCGAAACATCATCTGTAAGAGAAAAAAAAAGTTATTTGTAACTAAGTCATAGTGAGCTATGACCTACATTTGAAAAACTAAAGTTGGTGCTCATATCTCAAATTCTAGAAGAGTTGGTATAAATTTCATATTTTTTTCGAAATCACTTTGAAAAACTGCCATGAGAATGTGAAATTCCTATTTGAATATTTTCATGAATAAAGAAGTTACGGAGGAGACATGAAAATGATCAAAATCTGTTTTTTACGTATAAAACAGAAACGAATAGATTTTATCAGAATATTTTTTCACATTATAGTTGGCCTTGACAAACTCCACATTTGGTGTCATTTAACCGACCACGTATCTCTCACCGTTAAAAAGATACCCATGGTGAGCATGGTAAGTGGGACATACTGTATATGGTTTGCCCCCCACCTGTTATAAATCCTGGCTACGCCCTCTAGTAACGACGTAAATGAAGAGTTGATCTATTACTACTAAAATAACAATCCAAAACCCTGGGTAGATACCTGAGACACTCAACTCACCGTTACTTTCCGTGCCCGACACGTCAGGGCACGCTTGATACTTGAGCACCAAACGCGAGTCGTCGGTGCAGCTTTCGGCTCTGCTCGGCGGGTTGCTGCAATCGCCTGTCATGCGGTTGTAGCTGAAGGTGAATGGGGCGCCCTTGAAGGGGCACGCGATCGGCCTGGCCTCGGGGCTCTTGCGGAAGAGGCTGTAGAGAGGCGCGTCGCCAGTTATCAGTTGGCAGATGTCCTGCAGGCTGCCCTTCGATTCGCAGAAGGCTGCAACAGTTTTTGTTTCAATTGACGTAATAATATGTATTCGATAGGCACATGGACGTCGATTCAACGTGAAAAATACGTTAAGTTTCAATGATAGGCACATGGACGTCGACTCAACGTGGAAAATACGTTGAGTTTCAATGATAGGCACATAGACGTCGATTCAACGTGAAAAATACGTTAAGTTTCAATATTTGATTGCTCTTCGATCCGCAGGAGGTTGCAACAGTCACGATCGAAACCAAAGTCGCCTTTTCTTCTTGTTTCAATTGACGTAATTATATTAATCTGACAGGCACATAGAAGTCGATTCAACGAGAAAAATACGTTAAGTTTCAATGATAGGCACATGGACGTCGACTCAACGTGGAAAATACGTTGAGTTTCAATGACAGGCACATAGACGTCGATTCAACGTGAAAAATACGTTGAGTTTCAATGATAGGCACATAGACGTCGATTCATCGTGAAAAATACGTTAAGTTTCAATATTTGGTTGCTCTTCGATCCGCAGGAGGTTGCAACAGTCACGAAACCAAGGTCACCTTTTGTTCTTGTTTCAATTGACGTAATAATATTAATCTGATAGGCACATAGACGTCGATTCAACGAGAAAAATAGGTTGAGTTTCAATGATAGGCACATGGACGTCGATTCAACGTGAGAAATACATTAAGTTTCGATGATAGGCACATAGACGTCGATTCAACGTGGAAAATACGTTAAGTTTCAATATTTGGTTGCTCTTCGATCCGCAGGAGGTAGTAACAGTCACGATTGAAACCAAAGTCACCTTTTGTTCTTGTTTCAATTGACGTAATAATATTAATCTGATAGGCACATAGACGTCGATTCAACGAGAAAAATACGTTAAGTTTCAATGATAGGCACATGGACGTCGACTCAACGTGGAAAATACGTTGAGTTTCAATGATAGGCACATATAGACGTCGATTTAACGTGAAAAATACGTTGAGTTTCAATGATAGGCACATAGACGTCGATTCAACGTGAAAAATACGTTAAGTTTCAATGATAGGCACATGGACGTCGACTCAACGTGAAAAATACGTTGAGTTTCAATGATAGGCACATAGACGTCGATTCAACGTGAAAAATACGTTGAGTTTCAATATTTGGTTGCTCTTCGATCCGCAGGAGGTAGTAACAGTCACGATCGAAACCAAAGTCATCTTTTGTTCTTGTTTCAATTGACGTAATAATATTAATCTGATAGGCACATATACGTCGATTCAACGAGAAAAATACGTTAAGTTTCAATGATAGGTACATGGACGTCGATTCAACGTGAAAAATACATTAAGTTTCAATGATAGGCACATGGACGTCGATTCAACGTCGAAAATACGTTAAGTTTGAACATTTGGTTGCTCTTAGATTCGCATAAAGTTGCAACAGTCACGATCGACACCAAGTCACCAAGTTTCCACATTTGGTTGCTCTTCTTGTTTTTGTTTCAATTGACGTAATAATATGAATCCGATAGGCACATGGACGTCGATTCAACGTGAAAAATACGTTAAGTTCAGTCAGTTAGTGAAATGCCGCTTAAAAAGTGGAGATTTTTTGGCAGAGGGTATTAATAGAGGTTGAACAGTATCTAAGAAGCGCTAGCGTTTTCTGTGGTTAAAATGACCTATTCGGAGCAATAATTCGAAAATACTTCTCTAGTCCAATATGACTAAGAAATACATTATAATTTCTTTAAGCATTTCTCAAGCTATTCGTTACTTGAAAATTCAGTCCGATAACTATGATAGGATTTAAATTGGTTCCCTGTGCATGTGCAATCATCTCAAATGCCGAAGGCATACTCAATATTCAGAAAAAAATAGTTTACCTAAAGCTGTTTATAAGTTTGTTGTTGATGATTGATGATTCAGTGATGAGATAGGTAGATATTAGATCACTTACTTTCTTTGAATTGGAGTACGCTGACGTGTTTTGGATGGATTACCATACATCGGTAGCAATCGTCTGATCTGGAACAAAAGATATTGGTAGGTAATGAAATATGCGAAAAAATGGTATTATATGATTTGACTTGACACACTTGCATTTCATTTGAGTTCAACATAAAGATAACACACGAATAATCAACAAGAGAAATATATCCATCGATGAATGCAAAATGAAACACGCCAAATAATTGACACAGTCTTTCGAAAAATAGCCCAAATATGGTTTCATTGGATACTGTAAATGGAGAGGCTGACTTATCTGATGTTCGAAATGTTCATGATTTTGTTCAAAAAGTAGCATCGAAAAATTTAACCAACTCGAAAGAATATTCTCTATCTTACAGCAGTCATCCGTCTCCTCATGCTCCCGATGACATTATCAATCTTTTTTTGAGGAAGATTATCTTATCTCCAATTCGAGAGTATAGAGGACGGTAAAATTGAGATCAATATCCACATTTTATTAAAAACTATGAATTATGTAATAATTGAGATATCAAAATGAATAAAAAATGAAAATATTCGGATTAGAGTGGGTCACAATTTGGTGTTAAGAAATCGTTTCAATTATCAGCGGTTCACTCCACAGGATGTCTTGAAATATACTGAAAAATCCGTACATTCTTTACATCCCTATATATGATATAAAGACGAATCGTTTGAGAATGGGTGAAGAATCAACTGAATCGAAAAATTCAATCCAGCGATGGGTTCATGGGAAAATTGATGTCAAACTTAGTGTAAATTTTGCTTGTTCCCCTAATGGGCTTATATCACTAAAAAAATTTATTTCATAATTCGACAGAACTCACCCAAACTAGCTCACCACCGCAAACCGTTTCTTGCTGTGAGCTCCCTATGTTTTATAAAAAATTATTGAAATCCCCGATTTTTCGGACCTCTGAAAACGAGGTGATGATGTGACTTCAAAACCCTAATACTGAAATAAGACTATTCCAGACAGAGATGAATGATACATGATTTCTGACAGAGTGAATTAGCGCGAGATCACAGTTGAAAGAATTAATATATCAGTTGCCTCAGTCTCCGTCGGGCGATTGGTATTTTCTTTCAACTATGGCGAGATGAGGTTTCTACGTCATAAGAGGGCCCGTTTTCAGAAGGTACTATATTATTTATGTCCAAAAATAAATCATTCCAGTTAACTTTTCGATCAAATTATGTCATCAATCATTATTTATGTATAAAAGAATCATTATTAACATGGTTTGAGTTGAAAGTTCTACTAAGATGTACACGCCCATTGTTGATATTTCAGAAGAGCATCGTCCATGAAAAAATCTGTACGTCACTGTTATGTCTGTTATCCATTCATCCTACATACATATTATTGGTAATATTTTGCGATCTCATTGATAACGTTGCCACACACACACAGTCATTTCAATAGCGGTTTCAATAAGCCCATCTCTGAATGCGGTTGCTCATTTCTGCAAGTCTATTCAATTTCCTCGACATTTCCGATGGCTTGGAAAATGAAATGCATCGATATAATAATAATTCACTGTAGATGGAGGAAATTCTTCTGAAGAGATATATATATATATTTATATATGTTCAGTCGCTGTTCGATGAATGCAATGTTGAGATTCTACAGGGATAGCGATGTGACCCGTTCGTTAGAAGTTCTTCGTAATCCCATACTGTTAATACATGATGACAATTGGACTATTGATGTTTATTTGTTATAAACATATACAGCATCATTATTAAAAATAGTAGATTGTTTCATTAGGATCAAAAGTGACACTTTGTTTGACCAGCGAATTTTGCATTTACGAGGCGGAGCGTTTAGCGAAGCCGAGCGAAAGCAAAATTTGCGAGTCGAACAAAGTCACTTTCGATCCGAATGAAACATGCTATTTTTCTGCAACCAAAACAATTAACTCAAATAAACATGTGAAGTAACCACCAATGCCGTGCCATATGTATGCAATGCAACAAATATTGACAAATAATCCGTGTGGTGAGAATATTCTACCTGCATTAACAGCAGGCTAGGATTTCTAGGATGTTCGAATTGTAGTTTCAATATAAATACAACCACAGAGTATGACATATTTGTGTATGGACTAGGTGCTATAATGGCAAATACCGCGCCAGTGCCAGCTATAGGAACAAGACATGGAAAATGTTAGGTTAGTGAGCATATCAAAAATGATAAAAGTGATTATTTATTTATCTCCATACAACACTGTGTTTGACTTCATAATCAAATGAAGCTAAACAAAATCGTTGTTTGAGACAAAAAAACTATTGCTTGCCGTGATTATTCAAAAACAAGTTATCCATCCCGAGAATAACGAATGAAATACAGATCAAGCAAGTATTTGAATCTTGAAGGCTTCCCTGATCGAAACAAAAATACTCAACTGAGATGTTCATATTTCCAATACTAAACTATAATAAGGTGTATTTATATCTCCAGCATGGGTATGAAATGCCAAATCTGCTGAAATCGGAAACAAATCAGGTATGCGTCTCAACCCAAATAACCAAAACCGTCACAATGTTGTTTATTCTTGATGACGTCCAGTACATCCTTTTTAGTTCCTAGGAGCTGAAGTTCAACTTCAGCTCCTAGGAACTAACATTCAACTTTAGCTCCTAGGAACTGAATATGTTGCCTAGCAACATACCTATTTTTGTGTCAGTAATAGAAACGTCAATTTAAGAGCTGATTTTGGTATCAAAATGGACGACTTTTGTGTCGGTTGCAGAAAAAATATTTTATCATCATTTATTTGGTGATAAAAACCGATTTGATGTTGAACTTTTTTCACGAATTGAGAGAACATATTCATTTCATTGACTTTTAATTTATACCTCAAATTCTTGTTATAATTCAACGAGAATACTTCTTGCATGCAAACTCTAAATATTTATTATTTTCATGCAATAGAAACATGAAATGACGAAACTCCAGTTACATAGGTACAATGTACCTGATGCCGACAAAATTGAGAACTACCGTGGAAATCGTGAAAACATTCCAATTGGCACCGGAAAACTTTCCGAACTCCATTCGCAAAACGGGCAAAATTTATATTTAATATAATAAAGTTTGCAGGAAATGGAATTCGACAAAGTATTATGATAATGTGAACGTATGCTATTAAGCAAAGTTTAATTACGTGCCAGACGGCCGGAGTTGGATTTTAATGGACCCGTCCGGAGAGTTATTCGGATTCGGAACGTCATAAAATATGTTTGGGTGGATGCATTCGAATTAGAAGTCGGTCATGGTGACAAGGTATTCACTGTTTCCATATTTGGAGTGCAGCACCCAAACATACCCTGAAACTGTTGGATTCTATCCAAAAAAGGACATTTCGTCTCGTGGGTGATGCCTCGCTGACAAACTCACTCACTTCCCTGGAACACCGTAGAAAAGTTGGCGATCTGGCTCTATTCTATAGATATTTTCATGGACGATGCTCTTCTGAAATATCAACAATTGTTCCGCCCTTGGCAGTCCCCGCGAGATTAACTTGTCGAGTTGAGGCTTCGCACCCCTTCGTGGTCATTTTGGAGACCTGCAGAACATCTCTTTCCAATGACTCGTTCATCCAACGAACAGCGAGGCCCTGGAACACATTGCCAAGGGAGGTGTTCCCCGAGGCATACAACCTCCAGAAATTCAAGAAGAACACCAATTCCTACTTCATTTCCCTTAGTTCTCACGATGTTCTCTGAACATTACAGGAGCACTCCGGTAGACTACTACGTCTAAATTTTCCAAAATTTCTCAATTTCCACCACAGGTTCGTTAGTTTCGATGTTGAATCATTCTATGTAGATTTTTTTCAGATTTTTAATAGGCCAAATAAAAATTTTCATTTTCCCACCTAAGACTTCCCGTACGATATAGTCACCGAGCTATCTTCGGACGGCCGAAAGTGCCAGAAAACGGCAGAAATCATCGAGAATTATCGCTTCCTCAGTAGAAAATGACCCGTTGAATTGAATGAGACCATAATCAGCCCCGTAGGACAGATAGTTTTTGAGATATCGGCGCTCAAAGTCAGCTTTTTGCTTTTATTGCCATAAAGCACTCCAGTAGGCTACTACGTCTCCATTTTCCAAAATTTCCCGATTTTCATCACAGATTCGTTTATGACGACATCGAATTAGTCCTTGTGCGTTTTTTCAGATTTTTTATAGGCCAAATAGCAATTTTTATTTTCCCACCTAAGACTTCCATACGATATGGTCACCGAGCCATCTTCGGTCGGCCGAAAGTGCCAGAAAACGGAAGAAATCTGAGAATTATCGCTTTTGCAGTAGAAAATGACACGCTGAATCGAATGAGACCATAATCAGCCCCATAGAACAGATAGTTTTTGAGATATCGGCGCTCTAAGTCAGCTTTTCGCTTTTTTTTTTCCAATAGGAGCACTCCGGTAGACTACTACGTCTCCATTTTCCGAAATTTCCCAATTTTCACCACAGATTCGTTCATTTCGATGTCGAATTAGTCTATGTGAATTATTTCAGATTTTTAATAGGCCAAATGAAAATTTTCATTTTCCTGTGGGAACCAGAACATAAAAAAAAATATATACAGGGGGGTTCACCGTGTGCATCGTGCCTTCCGTTCAAGGTTCAATATCGCTCCCCGCGGCTGAATTCCTGATCGAAATCGAATCTGTTCTTCTGTAGAACTGTGTAAACCTTTGGAATTCTTTGCCGAAGAAACTATTCCGAGGAATTTAAATCTCCGAATGTAAAAAAAAATACCAATACCTACCTCCTCTAATGGGAAAGTTTCCTGTATTGAGGTTTTCATTTCACTATGAAGTTTATAAAACATTAAAATATACGGATTTTTCCTCTTTTTCGTAAGATCAAATTTCACTTCAGAAAAAAATGACTAAAAGAGGAACTTGGCCCCTCCACCATTCCTATGATTTATTTTCTGAAAATCTACATTCACAGAGTTGAAATACGATTCCCTGTGCCAGTACGACGTTGCCGACGTCATCAACATGTCTAGATTTCCGGAAATTGCTCTTTGAATGAATAATAACGATATCATAACAGCAATAGGATATAATAGATTCTTCAATCCTACTTTGTTAAGTATTATGAATAATTCCCATAAATCTCCCATTGGCTGGATGAAGTTGATTACTAATGAAAATAAATTATGATATTTCGCGATAGGATCTATAATTTTTCACTATCGTTATATTATATGTTATTCATAACTTGTCAGTCATTTTTTTGCTAATGAATCCGTTCCTTAATAAAACGGATCTATTTTCTAAGGAAATTGCAGATTATAGCTTGCAACAGCGCCTCATACTTCGAGTCCGCTCACACCACTCAAAATACTGACAGGCACATCAAGAGAAAGAAGCCATGGGTGTCGGCTTCATTCTGTTCTGACCATTGGCAGTAAATTAGGAAGAATAGTATCATTGAATGTAGCTGATAGTGATTCATTGATTCAATAATATTTTAGTTCAGGATCGAGCTCTATTCGAGATATTTCAATGCATGAATAACAAAACCATTACCTGTCAGAATGAAGCCAACAACCCTCTGCATTCCTGCTCCGAGGGCATTTGTGGTTATATATGTTTTTGTTTACCAGTTTTACTTCTTCTGTTTTTTTCATTCGTTTTGCATTCGTTAGCTATATTCTGCACCATTAGCTATTTTCAGACTAGATTCAGAATGTACGTCTCATTTTGCTGTCCCAAAAATTAGAAATAGCTTCAATTTGAAAATGAAAACGACTTGGACTTTATCGGTCGCCATTCTGTACAGCGTGGACATAAAACTGGAGAGTTCAGAACTTATTTTATGAAAATGCATCTGATGGAAACTTTCCCATTGTCGTCCATGAATTGAAGTTAAGTGATTTTGAAGCCTGATAACTGTGAAAATAGTAATATGCTTGTTGCGATGTCTTTAGTGTAGACGATATAGCTTAATTTTTTTGGAGGGGCAAATTTTCGCATCAATTTCAAATTTTAGTTGAGACGAGCGGTTCGGTGGACAGACAACTTTGAAATTGGGTCTATTTCTAATAGCCGTATTCAAATCATTCAATGGAGTAAACAACAATAATAAATCAAAAAAAAAAAATCACAATTCTCAGAGTTATTACTCACTTTCTGTTACTCCGATATTCTTACTTTCCTGATATCCTCTATACTATGAGTTTGAAGGTAAATCAACTCAAAAATATCTAGAATTCTAACCTCTCTAGACAATTCTGTCAATATCATCAGTTGATCCAGCTTATAACCCTAATTGAGTGTACCAAATATATTTAAAAACGTTCAAATCTCATTAAATCTAGCTTGTTGTTAACTGAATGATACAGAAAATGCGTCTAAATAGTATCAAATCCGAAGAATTCTTTTCTCCAAAAAGACACAGATCGACAGTGTTGAATTCAGTTCACACTTTACCTGTCTTTAACAATGAATGTGGAGCAATGCGATCGTCATGAATGCAACATATCTTTTGCTGTTTTGCGCACATACATCGTTATGTTTTGCAATTTGCAAATAGTACTGGCTGACAATCACTGTTAGTTCTCGTACAATTCAGAAAATATTCTGCAATAATAGTATATTTCTCGTGATGGATAGTGGATGAGGAAGTTTGATATTATACTCGTGCATAACGCCGATCAATAACTGAGGTAAGGAATAATCATCATTATACGCTCGTTTATTCAAATGCTATGAGGGATTTCATACTTTTGGACAAGTTTTACTCATATTATTGATAAATAGTCAATGAAAGTTATATACTTACTTATCATAAATTAGGAATTTATCGTTGTTTTCCTCGTAGCATTCTCCTTTGGTTTCGATGAAGGAACTGTTGATTAGCAGGTAGTTTGGCACTCCACTCTGGAACCACCTTCCCTGCCATGATTTTTTGAATTGACAACCTCCTGGAACAAAAACAAACATTCAAAGAAAATATTTCGAAGGAATATAATTTATCTCCAAATCAAGTAGAAAGTGGCTTTTTAATGACACTTGGCCAGGCACGAAAAAGTAAATTCCATTTTTACGCCGGCAGGAATAGAAGTTAGTTTCTCTGGTAACAAACAGGGGCCGAAGTCTCGTTTTATTCCCTACTCTAGGGAGATAATGTGACATATTCTCTCCCTAGGGAGATAATACCAACTTTACATTTTCCGCATAGCTCTGCGCTTTCTTTTCTGAAGCGAGTATAAGCTGAATCATACAGATTTCTAGATCTCACTGGTAGCAAGTCAAGAATCACTGCAGAAGCAGTATCAATAGTTTTCAAAGCTGTTTTCATAAATTTCAGTTTGATATTTGCTGTCACCATGCGTTGTCAACAATATGCATGTTGTGCACTGATTATGACAAAACACTTTGACCAAATTTTCATTCTTTCTTAATTTGTGTGTTTTCGCCAGCGTAAAAATTAGTATATTATACAGCTCAGGATAGAATGCTATTTTTCCCTTGGTGCTTAGTATCTCTCGGACTTCGTCCCCGAGCTACAAATCGCACCTTGGAAAAAATCTTGCGTTTCTGTCCCTTGATGTATAATATACTATTACTACCAAGGTGTATATTGAATTTTTTTACCACTAGGTAATCATTTCAATCATTACGATTTTGTGAAACTGAAATGTGGACCTATATGTCACTATTCAACCACTTAATTATTTCAAATTATAATTGGAATCTGAAGTCGTTATTGATAGATACCTACTAGATTCCATTGACTAGTTGTTCATAAAATGACGATAACTACCTTGGTAGTAAAAACACACTTCAAGCCTCGAAAAGTAGTAAATAGTGGTATTTTTCTACTCACATAACTAAAATGGCATTTAGCGTACGGATATGTACCACGCTAAAAGATCGATTAATCACGGATTGTGGAACTGTGATTTATTCAAAATATTAAACACGTTACCATGGCAACGCGATTTCTTAAACACATTACCATGGCAACGCAGTTCATTAAACACAGCTTCAGTAATTTGAGACATGCCTGGCCTGTCAATTGTATTAACTGTCAACTGTTATTTTCGAATTTTGTATCAGAATTATTCAAACAATATTCGTTTGTATAAGGATTCTTCATTAAAAATATATGCGAAAAGTAGACGAGAGTGAAATCGAAGAGAATGTTCTGGTATACTTGCATATCTCCAAGAAATGTAAAAATGAAGCATCCATTTTTGAGAACAATTTATTCATTCTGCGCTGAGCATGACAATAAACGTGAAACAAAGGTTAGTAAGCAATGGACTGGACACATCTACAACCAATATCACTTATACGTGTCTCGCTGGTTGCATGCAGTTGCATGTTTTATGTTCTCAATTCCCATTCCTTTCGAATTATTATGTAGGTTAGCAGGAATTGCAGGTATGTTAATGTAATTTTCGGAGTTCGTAGAGAAATCAAAGTATGTAACGCGTTTATAAATTCTTCTAGACACTCGTTTATTAAACACTCGCTCCGCTCTGCTCCGCTCGTGCTCAAACTAATCGTTACTAAAAGGACTTGTTACATAATATACTGTTTTCTAGCTAGTGGTGGAAAAACTATGTATATATATATATACATTACACAATGAATATTAATTTCAACTGATTGTTTGCAACTGGATATTTTCGGTTTAAATTAAAATTTTATCAAAAAAGTTACGTTATATTTCACGTAGTTGGAGCTCAGGGAGAAAATCATTTTGCATGATCTCGTTCCGAAGTCAATCATTGAATCCATTATCCATAAATTTCTATAGGAATTGGTGAAAAAATATCGGAAAACTGAATACATCGCAATTATTTTTATTGACACCACCTGAAGATATTTCATAGGATGCCAGCACAGTTATATTTTATTTATTTCAATGGTACGATTTCCATAAATTTGAAATCAAAATGATGAACTGCAAATCATCTGAAGTAATTGGGAGTAGATTATACTACTCCAGGTTATGAGATATTTCAGGTATTCCAGTCGAATAATGTTTGTTGGAAATTTCATTATGAGATTCAACATTGGAATTTTGTAAATAATGTATGCATCGAGATTGCGCCAATTATGAGAATTCCAATAAATGGTGGAAGCACTGAAATATTTCCACCAATCTATGTAATTGCAGAACATGTCACTTCTAATAAGTTATTGGAGAATATTTTTCGGAAGAGACGAGATGTCTGAACATGTAATGTAGCAGTGTCACCTGACGTCACAATATGGCGTACTCGTCGTTTTTATCAGCTGATCAGAGGACAAACAAAGCTGTATATAACCATCTGAGTCGACCCATCTTGCAATACCAAAACTATACTTTATTCAAAATTGAGACATGTTTCAAAGCTTCAAAGCTCCATCATCAGCAAAAATGTTTGTTGAAGAAAGTTATACAATAAGAAAGACAAAAAATCAAAGAAATTTTATTTAAACTATCATCATTTTTGATATTCGACATTGTTTGCTACTACTTTTCACAGTAGTAATGTTGGAATTCTTTTGATATTTTTTCAAAATTCTAAAAAGCTCCAAAGCTCTGTATAAACATAGATTTTATTCGTTCTGACCCATTGGTGATTTTTTTAAACATGTAGATATTTTACACGAGAAAAATGTGTATATTTTGTTCCAAACTGAGTATCTATGGAGGTATATATTGAGAGGTATAATAGGTACGTATATTAGAGCTGAACTTCGAGTGAATCCAGTAATTTAAAATTGACAAATGAACCAATATGAACTCTTCATGGAATAATTCACTTTTCTCACAGTATTCATGTACGATCAGTGAATTAACAAACATGTCAATGAGTAAATTTTCCAGGTTAGATGGCCGACATAAAAATTCAAGAATTGGCAGGAGCGCAGCAGTGTACTCACCAAATTGTATAAGTGGGAAAAACAGTATATTATTTCTAATAATTGGGCCAATATTTTTCAGCAAGATGTAAAACAATGAGGTTACTATACTGCACTAACAAAAAACGTTTGATAGAGAAATCCTAATGAATGGGTAAAGCACGTGAAATTTCCACCATTATCGGGTGAAACTACAAAATACAAGGCTGGTAATCAAACAGTAGAATGTGTTGGATAGGTCCATGAAATCATACTAGATATGTACGTGATAAAGAGGCCATGAAATGATAATGTGGTGCATCGAATTTGTTTCGGAAAATTCAAGAAATGGCAGGAGCGCACAAGCGTATTCACCAATGTGTACGGTCAATAAGAGGAATAATATATTATTTCTGATCATTGGGTCAATATGTTTCAGCAAGCTGTGAAAGGATGAGGTTACTTTTTTTGAATTGAGCGGTATACCCTGAATTACAGAGCGATAACGTTTCAAGATTTCTTCATTCCTTTATAGCACTTTTAGTTACCGATATATTCAGATCAAATTTGAAACATAGGTTACGTTTTATAGTTCACATAATACAGTATGATGAGTGGTTTTGAGAATCTGCAGGGCGTCAAGCCCTTTTCCGCTCCATAAACTTTTTTGTGGTGTGGCACTGGTAAATTTCAAATTCAATTAAAAAAATGGCTGCTCCAAGATGGCGGACAAGATTTGGTCCGATTCCATTCAAAATTGGTAGGTGGGGGTTTTTGAGGTCGGAGATCATGATTTTTTTGTTGAAATTCATAAATTCAAGATGGCTGCTTCCAAATAATTGTTTGTTTTTGTATAAATGACGATAACTCCGTTGTTATCAGCACAAAACTATTACTGCGACATATCATCTGTAAGAGAAAAAAAAAGTAATTTGTAACTAAGTCATAGTGAGCTATGACCTACATTTGAAAAATTAAAGTTAGTGCTGATATCTCATATTCTAGAAGAGTTGGTATATATTTCATATTTTTTTTTAAATCACTTTGAAAAACTGCCATGAGAATGTAAAATTCCTATTTGAATATTTTCATAAATAAAGAAGTTACGGAGGAGACATGAAAATGATCAAAATCTGTTTTTTGCGTATACAACAAAAACGAATAGATTTTATCAAAATATTTTTTCACATTATAGTTGGCCTTGACAAACTCCACATTTGGTGTCATTCAACCGACCTCGTATCTCTCACCGTTAAAAAGATGAGCATGGTAAGTGGGACACACTGTATACCACCTCCTCGATTAATCCACAGACACACAGACGAACGTTTATACCCTCTCTCCTTCCCTTGCCTACACCCATGGTGTCGCTCTAGCTTTTCACTGTGCTGAAATATTTATCTTGTATATGAAATACAAGAAGTAATAAAGGTGGAATGCGCTCAAACAGCGAGATTTAATAACGAAATTTTCACACAACTGTTTGAGAATTTGTCTGTGTTATGCAAGAGTATATTGAAATCCGGGATATTACTTCTGCAAGTGTCGTCATGTTAAAAGTATATAAATATTGAAGGACATTTTCGTCGATCGTGAATAGAATACTTCTTCATGCACGACGTAAAGTAGCACTTTACCGCCAGGGACCACTTTATCGCCAGGCGTATCTAGTTAACTCGAATATAATAAGCTAATAAGCATTCATGTATGATTCAGGACATCTATGTTTCAGTTGTGATGGTTCATCATCTAAAATCACATTTCTCTTGATATTTTCGAGATGTAAATTGATATAATCGTACCCAAAATAAGTGATATGTGATGACATAAATCGACAGCAAATAAAAGTCTACTAGAGAAATTGACTGAGTTACCATGGTCACGTTGATTCTATCAATGCTATTCCTTATACAAGTGATTCTTTCCCGAATGCCTATTGATTTCGATTTAGCCAGGCGACGCTAGACACCTACAGACCGATTTCGAGCTCTTTGACTCTCATCAGTGCACGACAGTCTCCAGCTAGCAGCCCTAAGACCACCGACTAAGCGTAGCCTAGCCAGACAAAAATCAAGTCGGCTTC